CTCCTTTTCATTTGAATTGTTTTTACGTTACAAGAGATAAATTACTCACCTTAATCTAATTCAAGTTTATGTATGATTAGTTGATTCAATGACATGATCTTGAGAATCCTAGATGGAGGAAAATTTTTTATTTATTCTACCCTCCATAAAATGTATGATCTTTTAAAACACTAGACAAATTTCTTTCCTACAAAACCCGTGAGCTCACAAAGAGCATACACCATATTAGTTCCTTTGTGAATCGTATTGCCTTGTTGAACTTGTCTAGCCGTTTTCTTGAAAACATGCACCTATCATTCTCTCGTGAATACATGAAAACATGATAAAAATATTTTATGGCATGGATGTAATCTAAATGCAAACCTTAAGTAACCTAATGAATATGTAATTAAATAACTTAAAATAAACATGCAATCATCAATCACCAAGGAAGTTCAATCAAACAATAAACATGTGAACATAGCATCAAGTAAGCACATAAACATAGCAATCCCATGACACTCTCTTGTGGCGAGGTGGGTTATACTTACTAATCATATATTAAACACGGGAATATAACATCAAGTAAACACAACATCATAAGCAATCAATCTTCAAGTGAAACATATAAACATATAAATCCATAACAATCCTTGATATACTCACAAACATATCAATCCATAAACATAGTCCTATGACACATAAGTCTTATGGTGAGTTGAGACTACGCTTACCTCGGAAGTTATCCTTGAAACCACCCTAAAAGCTCTCAAGGATTCCTTTTGCTTTCCTCTCGACCGAGGCTACCCAATCTCTTTCTCTCTCAACCACACTCTTTCTTTTTTCCTCTCGACTAAACTCCCTTTCTCTCTCTCTCGGTGAAGACTTGTTTTTCCTTGGCAATTTGGTTTTTCTCTTTTATTGTTTCTAATTTTTTCTAGGCTAACATATCATAAATGACCTAGCCATTCTCCTCCTTTTATAAGCTTTTTTATCGATTTTAGGAAGATTCTAGGAAGCTAGATTTTTCACTTGAATTAATTAAAGAGAAATTATACTTAAATATTAAGTACTTAAGTATCAAGCATTTTCTAGATTGTTTTTACATAATTAATACGCTTATCCTTACATATTAAGTATGAAACACCTAATCTTTAGAACTTTCTACATTAACTTAGACTAACAATTGTATATGATACTAATTAAGCTTTATTTTTAGGTTTACACGTTTATCATACACTTATTCAAGTTATATTCTTAGGTTCTATAAGTTTGAACAACTTTACATATTAGTCACTTTATTTTATCACCGAGTCCGCTTAAGTCCCTAATCTTTTAATTATCATATTTAGGTCTCTTAACCACTTATACACTCATAACACTTAGTAATATGCACTTGAAATACCAAGCATTCGTCGAGGTAAGCACAAAGGTTAACATACACTTACTTAACAAATAAACACACTAATGTATATAAATGTTTAGAGTCCAAAGGTATTACATATATTTATTTAGATTTTGTTGTTTTAATTGCATGTGTTAAGATATTATTTTATCATGTTTTTAAATTTAATTTATGTTTTACATTGATGGATAAAAAAATTAATGCAAATCTCTCATTTCAAGTTTAAAATCATTTTTGAAGGTACTAAAATTATCATTTATTGATGTTGCAAACAAATATTTTCTTAGCATTTTTTTAATATACATGTTATTTCTTTTGCTTTCTTATATATATATATGGACTTGATTTGTTTATTTAAAATTCATTAATGTCATTTCAGTTTTTAAAGTGATTACCCGGTTTGGTTGAATTTTTATCATCGTTAGTTTATTTTTTAATTATTATTTCTAATATATAAAAAAGTAAAGGATCAAAGTGTAATATTATATGTAAAAAATAAAGGACCAAAATGTAATGTAATAACAACTTCCATATTAAATATCTTATAAATCTTAAAAATTATAACAATGCCATAATATAGTGAAAGTGACAATGCAAATGAGTCTTGATAAATAGTAAATTGAGTATGGATGAATAGTGCTATGAATAGCAAAGTGAACGAGTAATCAATGTTTTTTTTTTTTTTTTGAGTATGCATTAGCATTAATGAATTACTTTTTTATACTATATAAAAAAAGATAAATAAAGTCATTGGGGAAACTTTTTAATGAAAGGGAAAGAATTTTTTGAACCTTGATCAATCTCTATTTTCTCAAGAATAACCCATGTGAAAGAAAAAGCTTTATACTCTTTAGATTATATTACCAATTAATAACTAAATGGGGTTTTTAGATAAATATTTCTCATGATAATCGTCACCGCTCATTCTCTTCTTTAAGAAACAAAGAAAATATAACTTACCTTACATATTCTTTTTACTTATCCAAAAAATAAAGAGTACTTTTTTTAAAAAATAAAATTGAATCTCCTCTCATTTTATCTTTATTGGAAATTTCCAAACCCATTGTAAGAATAATTAAGTTCAATGAGCCAAAAGTATCTTAAGTTTTTTTATCGAATAAAAATAAACTTATAACTTTTCAAAATTTAATTCAAGTATCAACTATATTTTAGTAAAAAATAAATTGCTTAGCAATGTCTAAAAACACAAACATTAACCACAATCATCCCTTCATCTTTCAACACCACTAACACTCGCTAACATCAATAAGTAGCATAACCAACATGCTTCTTCAATATCTTTCATGCCACCAACCATCTTTCTCATCAAATAATCCATTTCAAATTTGGATATTCAATATAAATCAAGAATTTCTCCAAAAGTAAAAAAAAAAAAACCTTGTAATTGATGAAACAATCATTAATTGAAGGATAAAACTGGTCAAACCTCATATGAAATTTAGTTCATTTAAAAATTACTTCTTAAATTTCTTATTTGTGTTTTGACCTTCTTGAATATTTTTTGGCTTGAGATTTAATTTATCCCATGATTTTCAGCTACCACCCATCCCCTTTAAAAAAAGTTAATCAATAGTATTTTGATGTGAAGTTTGACACACATATTGGAAAAAAAATCCAATCTATTTTCTAGATAATTTCTAGAATTTTTCAAAATCAAGAGTTATACTTAATCTTTTTTTTGAAATATTTAAAATATAGAAAATAAAAAAACACAAAACAACTTAAAATGATCTCAAGTTTTTTGTGAAGCGTTAGATAAATGTCATTAAATGATTTCTATCATGAGTTTATTTATATAACTATTATTTTTTCAAGGATAAATCATAGAAATGTAAACGATGAACTAAATCTAAAAAAAAAGTTTAGAGAGGTCAAAACACAAATTAAAAATTCAAAGATAAATTTTCAAATAGACTAAAGTTCAAAAAAATTTGGCCCTTTATACCTCGATTGAATTAAAAATAAAATTTAATTTATTCTTCAAATTCGTATAAAAGTCTATAGAATTCATAACTACCGAACTTATGCATAAAATGGGGTGGAATCATATTTTAACTTTTGTTTGAATAATGCATCGTGGGTAATCGGTGTTGAGGAGATACAGGGAAGGTGAAACTCCTTTACGGTAGAAATTTGTTATTGGTAGCATCATTGGTCTTTCATGATGGTGGCGGTTCCATGTCTTATTCTTGTTCTATATACTTCTTTCAATGAGTGTGTCTTGATGTTGGTGGTAGCGGTAATAATTTTGATTGTGATGGTTCCGTGGGTTTATTCGATAAACTAATGCACGGATAAAGGGATCGAAGAGTAAAAATAGTTGTGTTGTATGGCTCCATTGTTGTTGTTCGTGGTAGTTTTTGATGTCGTTATCAATTTTATAGTTATATGATATCATAATCGTTGATTTTGGTTTTTTAGGTGCTATCATGATCGTTAGTTATGTGCTATCATAATCGCTAATTTTGTTTTTTTAGGTGTTATTATGATCGTTAATTAGTTGGTGGTGATCTTCTTGATTGTAGTGGTTTTATGGGTTTGTTCAATCTACTACTGTATAAATAGAGGATCAAAAGGTAAAATAAGTAGTGTTGTGTGGCTCCATTGTTGTTATACATGATAGTTTTCGATAAAGGTATTAATACTATTAGTTGTTACTACCGACCATCATGATTGTTGTTGTTTCTTTAGATGCTTATGGGCAATATTGAATGGAGATGTAGATTCTTTTAAGTCCTTCTATTTATCATTTGTTTTATTTTTCAAATTCTTGTGTTTTATTTTTTATTTTTTCTTAAATCATGTGTCACGATGCTTTCAAAATACGTGTTGTGTTTTTAGAATATCGGAGGTCATTAAAATTAATTAAAAAAACTTATTTTTTTATCAAAAAATAATTTATAGTAGTTTGATTAAATTTTTCAAAGATTATAAATTTAATTAAAGATTTAGAATGATTATGAATCATTTAACCAAATGATTAATCAAGAACAACCACAATAAACACATGTTAAGAAGAGCACTCTGCGCAAATTAGAAATTAAACATAAAAAAGAAAAAACTCATGATCCCCAATAGAGTGATTTTAAAATATTCATGAATTAATTATTGTACATTTAAAATAATTACTACATATGTCTATTTTTTAGAAGAGAGATAGATAAAAAAAGAAGAAGTAAGAATTACATTTTAATTCATAAAAAAATAATAAAAAGATTTTTATCCAAACTTAATTTTTTTTTCAATTCTCTCTCTTTCTCTGTTTTTTTTTTTTTTTTAATTTATCTTTCTTTTATAAAATAACTTAAGCTAATTACTAATTTCTTATCCCCAACTTACCCCTTAGCCCAAAAAACGCAAGATATTATTTTCATCTGTTTATTAATCCAGCGGTCACAAACCCACCAGCCCAAAATCCCCAACCATTAGATCTCCTCTACCAGCCGTCTCTTTGTAATTCCCAAAACATGAATCCGACGTGTCACTCGCTTCCACCCTATATAAACAAGCCTTTACCCACTTCACCCTAAACCACACACCCCTTTCTTGTTTCTCTTTTTCTCAAGATTAGGGTTTTTGTTTTCAAGGAAACACCATGAGTGATCAGCGGCAGACAGGGAAGGTCAAGTGGTTTAGTGACCAAAAAGGGTTTGGTTTCATAACCCCAGATGATGGTGGTGACGATCTATTTGTCCATCAATCTTCCATCAAATCTGAAGGGTATCGCAGCCTTGGAGACGGCGAAGAGGTTGAGTTTGTGATCGAATCCTCTGACGATGGCCGTACTAAGGCTGCTGATGTCACTGCCCCTGGTGGAAACCCAGTTCAGGGCATCCGATCTAGTGGTGGATATGGTGGCGGTGGTGGGTACGGAGGCGGCGGGGGCCGGGGAGGTCGTGGAGGCGGTTATGGAGGTGGCGGAGGCTACGGAGGAGGAGGTGGTGGGTATGGAGGTGGAGGGTATGGTGGCGGTCGGAGAGGTGGTGGTGGTGGAGGGTACGGTGGTAGTGGTGGTGGTGGGTATGGAGGCGGCGGCGGCGGAGGGTGTTATAGCTGTGGGGAGTCGGGGCATATGGCTAGGGATTGTCCACAAGGCGGCGGTGGTGGTGGAAGGTACAGTGGAGGGAGTGGCGGAGGTGGTGGTGGTGGAGGGTGTTACAACTGTGGTGGGTCCGGCCATTTTGCTAGGGAGTGTCCTAACAGTGGACGTTGATTTTAGGGTTGGGAGTGGAAATAGTAAAAAGAAAGATGTGATTTTTATCATGTTTTTCTTTTACTAATTTATTTCTACCTCTCTTACCTTTGCTTTTGCTTTTAGTGGTGTTGTCTTTTAGGTGGTCTTTTCTTGGTGACTCATTTTAGTGTTTGGGCTTGATGGGTTCCTTGCTTTATCCAGTGTCTAATGTTGTTTAAGGTTTCAATGAAGGGTTTTTATGGTGATGATTGTCTGTCTGTTTTTGACTTTGGTGCTTTCGGTTTCGGTTTAAGTTAGAAGGTTTCAAATCGGTATGATGGGGATAGGTCTTAAGTAGCAGGGGGCAGTAGAGAGGGATTGGATCTTGTTGAAGGAAAGAACATCTTGATTTGAGTTGTAATCTCTCACTGTTTTTCTAAAGTGTTTATACACAATATATATAAATATACATGCTGGTTTGATTCGAAGTTTTGGTCCAATGCTTTATTATCTTCCTGTTTTTTGGTAATTACTGTATTATTTTATCTTGTTGAGAATGGGATGCTTCTTGGGATGGTTGAGATTTTTGCATCTGGCCTGGTATATTGTTTTTTAGACTCTCAAGAGTCAATAGCCAGGAAAAGAAAATGCATTATTTAATGACCAACTTTCGAGGATCTTCGATTTTAATTGGTTCTTTAATTTTTCTCGTGGGGACAAATTGCAGATTTGAAGGGTCAGTTTAGGCTATTTAAGCGACTTGGCTATTCCCTTTTGCTTTTTTGGAAAGGTCGAAACCCATCGATTATAAAGCTCACGAATAATGCAAACTTAAAGTCATGGAGCTCCCTGTTTTGCAGATCCTTCATGTTGCGGTTCCATTGGTGGTCCACTCTCCTTTTAAGATCCTACTTACTCTGTTGATTAGCATGTTTAATTAGCTCCATTGGATAATGTTTTTGGGTATAGAAAATGGGGTTAGAGGAGCAGTGTTGGCCCACTTGGTTGTCACGTGACAAGAAGAATGAAACTTCAAATCTACCTGAGAAATGCCAGCCAAGTTTGGCTCATTTATTTGATATTGATTGATCTCATGTTTTATTTTCTGCCGGTAAAACAATTTTGCATTGGAATAATTGCAATATAATTGCATCAATTTTTTTACATTTTTTTTCAATCTAGTGTGTATGTATATATTTTTTTATTCGAGCATAATAGCAGTATTTTTGTTCAATTTATTACGGATACTGGTAGGGACACTGGTAGAAACCTTGATTAGATACAACTAGATGCAACTCTTTGTATAGAAAATATAAAGATAAACTTTAGCTCAGCAACTCAAGCGCTTATCTAGTAGAGAGTTTCTATGTAAACATCTTAGCTAAGGATTATCCTGCTTTGTATTTATTTTTTTAAGGGGATAAATGCTTAGTTATGTGGTAAAGTGATATTTATTCTAGAATACTAAATTATGATTTTGTAGTTTTATTTTTTTGAAGGAAAGTATTTTGCATTGCTAAGAATGAAATGACAAAATTATAATTTAGTAGTTAGAGTAAAGAATTTTTGTTGTTTGGATTAAAGAATACATTATCAAATAATAGAATAATTGATAGAAAGAGATTTAAAAAAAAAATGCCCCATTGCTAGTTTTTTTTTAAAATTAATATATTAAAAAAAATTTCATGGATTCTGTTTAAAAAATGTTAAAAACTAATATGCTTACGGTGCAATTATTTCATTTTGCATTAATTACATGTCATCTTGGATTCGAAAAAATGCTACCTTAATTGGTATGGGATGGGATTTATAATGAGAACAATTCAGCGAGGTTGGTAAGGGGATTGCCCATTAACTTATGCCTTATTTGGTTTCGTTATGCGATGGAATGGGCCCAAAATACAGAGCCTCTGGTCATGAAATAAATGTGTTGATCAATCTTGAGTTGGCACGTAGAAGCATCCTTCCAAACGTTTCAAATATTACAAAAAACTACGAACATTTGCTGAGGTTGTCAAGTACTAGCCATGTATATCCAGGAGGGAAGTCGTTAGCTTTCATTTCTTTGCAACGTGTGATGCTCTCATGCTCATGGTCAAGGTTCACAGTTGTAGCTAAGGGGAAAATTCTCCCCTTTTTTTTTTAACCGCTGTCAGTTTTCAAACATCAATCATCACAGCTTTCTTATTTCATGCATATATTTAAGGGGGAAAAAAATTTAAAGTGGACCTACGTGAGGAACTCTTCTCCTAAACTGTGGTGGACCTCACCAGTAGCTTGGTGATATTTTTGAACAGGTCGATCTATCTAGGCTGTGATTTTGCAAGGGCCCAAGTTGGGTCTTCAATCCTCATACTGGGCTTTTAGGTCTTGAGGAATGGGTTTCCAGAACAACAGCACATTTGGGGAATATAATTGTCATGACACTAGCAGACCAGACTCTAATTCAATCCTCATCTTTGAGAGATGAAATTCCTGAGTTAAGTGGGCTGGCTTGCTTGTGTATTATTAAATTTATCGGCTTGAAATGTGATTTTCCTTTGGCAAGACAGACAGATATACTAACCAGTAGGGACTTCAGAATAAAGAATTGCCACCCGAAAAATCAAATTTGGTGTGAAAAAAACTTGTCTGGGATGGCACCGATGATGCTTGATAACTGTAGAACCCCTAATACGGAGTGAGATTGGTTAAATCAGTAGCCAACATAAATTGAAAAAAATATATCTCTTTAATGATTTTTTAAATTTCAATTTTTTTTTAATTCTTACCTTTTGGGTTAAATTGAGATATTTCATAAATTTTAGAGATGAAATTAAAAATTTACATTGAATGAAACAACAATAAAAGATACAAGGTTTAAATGAAACAGATACATTTTTTTTTTTTTATGTAAGATTGAGAAAACAGATAAATCTCTGAGGAGAAAAATTAAATTTTCCTTAATCCAACTGAGGTTAGTGCTGAATTGTCCATGAAAAAATGTGCCTCGCTTGGTTTTAGTGTAATTCTATAATGCCACCCTCTCATTTAAATATCGATGCTATTCATATTATTATGACATATGGCATCTAATTTATTAACAGAATGTGACTAAATTGTTTAAATCAGCAACCAATATAAAGTGTTATTTATGTGAATGAAAAGTTGGTCGCATGCGGTTGAAGTTTTGGTTATTTTTTGGAACTGTTGATTATATATATATATATATATATATATATATATAAAGGAGAAAATATTTTTTTTCAAAGAAAAGTTGTAAACACAATAAGAAAAAAACATTTAATTGAAAATAAATAAATAAAAAAGATAACAAAAAAAAAATCAATATGTTAACATTGATTGAAATTAATTAAAAAATAGATCATATCAAGTAATACTTCATAAAATTAAATTATTATTTTTAACACTATCGAAAGGTGTGTTTGTTTTTTTCTAAAAAAAACTAACTAGGGTTGCTGCTTGCAAGATTTTTAGCTTGTCAATTCCCTTCACACGACGCATGCAAATCTCTGCGACTGCGTTTTCTTATGTTAAGATTCGATAGATGGATGGTCGGATTTTCGTTCGAATTGAATGATCTTGTTTAGATTTAATACAAAATATCTACTCTCTGTATAAGCAGAAGGCTAAATATCATCACATAAATTTTACCAAGATAGTAAATTACATCCAAAATGGTGTTAACAAAATAATCATGCAATATTTATCTTAAATTATGTAAGAACATGGAGCAATTACGTGACAAAATGCAATCAACTATTTGTGTTGATTATGTTTGAAAAATGAATAGACCATAAGAATATTTATAATAGAGTAAAATACTATATAATAGGAATTAAAAGATTACATTACATACTAAAATATGTGTCTTTTTTACCAAATAACAAAACATACAAAAACAAATCATGTCATTAAACGTAACAAATTGTATTAAGTGAAATATTGTTACCTATAAACAAATAATTGGATAAGAAATCAATGAAATTACGCAACAAAGTTAATAAATTTAGGAATAGATCAAGCAAATTATGTAATAGTGATAGCAAATCATAAAAATAAAATATTTGATTATTTATAATTTTAAATTGTCAACCACGCAACTTTTTTATAATTATGATTTATTAAATGAATATCTTTTTTTTGACACAAAAAAGGAGAGGCTTGAATCTTGGATTTTTTTTTTAATTCATGTCTCTGTTTGGTGGTAAAAAAACACGAAAAAAATGCAAAAAATATTTGATTTACGCTTATAATGTATTTCTTGTACATTTTATTTTTGACACGTGGCATAAATATTTTGTTATATAATTTTTGATAAAATTTCAATAGATATATTTTCTCTACTTAATACAAAATATATTAGTTTTAAGTAAAAATATATACATTAATTTTTTTAATCTAAATTTGGAATACTGGATGAAAATATTTGTATATTTCATTATGCAATATATAATGATTTTTTTAATCACATTTTTTCTCTAAAAAAAGGGTATCAGGTTAGTTTTTTTTTTTTTTTTTGTGTCATATAGTAGCTTTTTAAGCATATAAAATCACATAAAAAATAGAATTAAAAAAATTCATAGAAATTATTACATGAATGTGATAAAATTTAAAATTAGAAAATGTTAAAAAAGATCAAATATCAAAAAAAAAAAAGAAAAAGAAAACAAGAGAAATTGGGCCTGAACTCCCAGGAAAAGACAGAACAACAAAGGAAAAGAAATTGGGATTGGAGGCCCAGGAATTAAAGGGACTTAACCTAGGCCCAATCATGGAAATGTAGACTTGGATGACGCGTCTTTCAAATCGTCTTCTTCGTCCACGATGCCGAATTCCGATCACAGTGTCGGGTCCGAGCTAGTCCGACGGCTACATGAAAAGTAGCCGTTTTCTTTCCATTTTTAACCAAAAAATACTTCTAAACATTCTCTTAATTCGCCTACACTCAAATGTAATATAAAAAACAAAATTTTAAACAACCAATAAATACAAAAAATTGATTTGAAAAGTTTTAAATCCAAAAGCATCAGATATTCATAATTCTAATTTTTAGAGATAAAACAGTTAATTTTGGTATCAATATATTCCTGAGAGCGAGAGTTTCTATTTGATCGTAGTTTCAGTCGGATTGATAGTCATGAACTACTGTCATTGCCATAGAGACCTTAGCCACATCAAACGTCTAGGCCCTTTGATTGTCATGAACGCAATTGCGTTCTTATCATCTCTGAGAACATTAACTGCCTTCACAAATTCAGTATCATCAAACCCCTCTAATTTCTGCAACTCCTCTAGGCATTTCTGATACATGGCCTTCTCATTTGACGCATTCCTTTGTATGGCTTTGACTGTAGCTACTGACAACATTTCATACAAGGCATTCTCTAATGTCTCTCCAACATTGTCACATGCCCTTTTTCTCTGACCTGATGATGAAGGACCAATAGATTTTCGCTTCTTAAGGTGCATGTCGTTAATGCGGAGTATTGAATCAGAGTCCAGGGTACCATCAACTAGTTGCGTAAGAAGGTTGGCAGGTTCTGAAGATTGCACTGTTTCAGTATTGCTATTTCCGTCTTCGGTTTCCACAGGAAGTCCATTCGGTAGCGGAAATTTGCCAGCAACTCTTTCTCCTGCATCATCATACATGTTAAGGACTACACCAAAACTAAGAAACTAAACTAGGACAGAAAGGAATTTACCTTCAAATATGATGGACATCTGTTTGTACAGCGGAAAGCTCTTTCGCCGAAAAGGTCTGGCTTCACATTTTACCTACAATAACAACTTAACAAGCTGTGACCTTCCTTCAATGCATCAAAAACAATCTGCAGAAATAGTTACATACTGCAATGTAGCTGTCCCAAACTCTATCATCAGCCACGACCATTTGCCGTGTTTCATCCCAGCCAAATCCAGTATGAGTAAGCAAGGTTTTGACAACACCATAATCTTTCTTCATCACATTGTAACGGTTTTTAATCTGGCTTTCTTCTAAATTCATGTTGAACTTCTTGTTAAAATCACGGGTGACAGATCTGATCATTTCATTTTTAAACTCATTATATGCAGTTCTCCCACAATTATGTTGCTCAATAAAAAGCTCAACCAGACACGTATCACGAGTTGGAGTCCATTCCGCCTTCGGTCGGCCTAACATCACATCTTGTGTGGCAGACATCCTATCTCTCTTTGCAGAAAACATAAAAAGCAAACAAGTTATGAAACAAAGATATGTAATAAAAACAGAACAATAATAACACAACACAACCAAATCCGACACAATTAAGGACTCCAACTAGCCTTGAATTAGATGAAAGTGACTTAAATTTGTGATCCATAACTATTTTCTCACTGCTTACTAAAGTTACACATTTCTTCAACAAAATGAACTCCACATTTTACAGTCCAAGGTGCTGTTGGAAACCTCTTTGTAAAATATTAAATGACGACAAGCAATGAAATTATTACCAAAGAACCTACTTCAAATTCGTTCACATATTATGTTTCCTATTGATTTATGACACTAACAAAGCTACCAAGTACACTAACATTAGCACACTTCGTTATAGCTCATATGCAGACTTGTGTCACCAAGTAAAGATTTTTATATCATTAAATCAACATAGTACTGCTAACCAAGTATCTAGTATTTCCTTAATATCACTAAAACTCAGATGGCGATCAAAGCAGAAATTCAAGCAATGCAAAGAATTCCAACCAGACCATGATTGGACATACAAACAAAAACCCCAATTAAATATATCCCATTCTGTATCAAAACCATTCACAGAGGTTCAGATAAAGACAGTATACTAGGTTCTGTGTTCAATTAAGGTTCAGTGCTCAGTTTTCCCTTTCCTTGCAACATTTACTCAGTGGACAAAAAAGAAATCGTTAATTCTTGTGAAAAATATATGGAAAGGGAGACAGTTACTGTACCTGTGATATCAATAGTCTACGACGGAGAACTGATCGGAGACCCTACCTCCGGTGACCGGGAAATAGTGAAGTGGCGTTTACTGATATGGTTTTAGTTTTAAGTGGCCAGTTTAAAGGCTAGCTAAAATAATGGTTTAACCGTTTAAGTAAAGAGACTAAAAGAGGATAAAGCGATAAAATAAATGTTGCCACGTCAGACTTTCATTTCGGCCATTATAAGAATAGGCCCTTGATAATAGCCCATTTATGTTTGCTGTAAAGTATAGAAGATAGAGTTATAAATCAATATAGCCGACAAAATTTATTGGGCCGGGCTTTAAAGTGGGAAATGGGCCCCTTCTCTTAACTCCTCCTGACATTAAGTTTAGGCTCTCTTTTTTCTCCGTTTCAAACTAAATTTAATACTACAGATTATTTTAGATTACTTCAAGTTCATTATATATATATATATATATATATATATATATATATATATATGTATATGTATATGTTTTTTTTTATATAGGTAGTGACATATCTTTGAACTAGTTTTTACATCGATCGATGTTAACTTTATCACTTGCTGAATTAAACTAAAACTAGAGCACGTCTAGTTTTTTCTTTTTTTCGTATTTATATTTATGTATGTATATATATATATAAAATTCAAACATAACATGCCAGTTAAGTATCAAATTAAATAGGAAACTTCTGGTTTTATTCGGGACAAGTAAGCTTGATTAATATGTTATTTTTATAAGATTTAAATCTAGGAAAAGTTTGTAACAAATATATTTATTATTAATGTGCTAGTTCAAGGATGGAAAATTTGTTTGAAAATTGAAAATAAGTATGTGAAAGCTAATTTAGGGATACTTTGATGATTATAGAAAAAAAAACATAATAAAATATTTTTTTTGTAAACTGTAATCAGAAACATCATAATGAGATTTGAACATGTAGTTAAAATTTTTGTTTGCACAATCATATTTTAGAAAGTAGCAACAAAAAAACATCATTTCATTACTAATTATTGTCAGCGAAGAAACATTTGATGTACGATTCTGTAGAAAACTTACCTACCTCCATTCTTTGAATTTTTTTCAAGTAGATGGCATTTTCCTTACAATAAAAGGCATAGAATCTACATTCTAATTGGACAACTAAGAAAGCGAAAGGAAAAGGGAATGTATAGTCTTTTCAAAGGCCAAGAAGTTCTAATAAAACACAACGAAATACTTTCTTGTGCTTTGAACCAAAAATTGCAGCTTTAATGGTGAAAAACAGGGGCACAGAGTGAACATGCCAATTGCTCTTTCAGTATAGGATTCTTTGATTCTAAAAAGTGCTACCCATTTGGAGGCCATAAAGAGAGGTTTGCATGATGGTGTTTGTTGATAAATGGATTCAAAATTAATACGGGGAGCTGATGATCAAGTAATGGAGTTGACCACATTAGAAATCAATAAGGACAGCGCACAAGACTTCAAGGACCCACCCTCTGTTCTTGCATCCCCTAAGTCAATGCTGTTTCTAATCTCATGCCTCTTTAATAAGTGCCAAAAGGCCAAAAAGTTGTAGTTCTCTGGTAAAGAAAAACAAAACTCTTAAAACTTGTTATTTGTAAAAGGAGTTGAATTAATGACTAAAGTTTAATATTGCTGGGGACCTTAATCATGGCTGAAGAGAAACTATTTGCAAAATTCTTCAAAGCAAATCTCTCCAAATCTGGCCAAAAAAGGAACTCTAAGAAAGGCCATGAAATGTTAACCTACCTACTGAGTTAACTATAAAACCTAATATCTTGTCTCAGGTTGCATTCACATCATTGAGAGAGGATTAATGTTGCAAGTTAATCGATGATTATGATGATTAATTTTCCTTTAAGGAGAAACAAAGCCGTTATAGCCAACATGTTTTGTATCCTAACTGCTATTAAAATCATAGTAAAAGATGATTATTGTCTCGTAGGCTATAACTTTAGCATGCATGACCTATCACAATTGCGATTCATTTACCTTTTGCAGGCATGGCGTGCTAAATTCCATAACATGTTAAATCTAGATGATTAGTTAGCTTGTCTTTGTGTCCATTATAAGGATGGCTTGTGCTTGAGGTGCGTTTTGGAAAATTTTACTCTCTCTTAACCAAAATTATCACAGAAAATCCAATGATCGATCTCTTGTCTAATGGTTCCCTGTTTTAGTGACTCCAGAATAGAGTTCAAAGACACGGTTTTAGCTCAATTAGCATGCCCTGTCCATATCATCAATGTTAGTTTCAATCATAAGAAATCAGGACCCTCCATCTTTCTCTGTCTCAAGTGCACAATCTAGCTGTTTGAGAGTGCCCTAGAGCAGCTCATGAGACCAAAATTATTTCGCACATGAAAAATAGTGCCTTTATCTTTGATTTGGTACGTTCCACAATTTTTCATAGAAAATGAATTCACAAGTCACAACTGCTGGAAATTGTCATAAACGTAACCAAACATATATTGTAGAATTCTCTTAGGCAGGGAATAAATAAAATTACTTAAAAACTGTTAAAACTATCAACCTTGAGAAATTATGCCAACAAATGGTAAAAAAATCCTCCACTATGGCTCCCATAGAAAATGAGCATCCAAATTCAGTCAAAATTGGTAGACACATCAGAGATTATAGTATCTTCACAATCGAAAAACTTGTATTTTTTGATGGAGGACAAAGATTATGGTATATGCAAACAAGCATGCAAAACACCAATTGGTCAAAGGAGACACAATTCACAGAGAATGTTCCCGGTCCCAGTGACTTGAAAGCATGAAAGGAGTGGATATATATGGAGCCCCTACAAACCCCATGAATATGTTCCACAACATCAACACAATAAAGCTTTTTTTTTTTTTTACACCTGGAGATCTCATGCCTTTTCTTAATTATTTGAGCAATAGGTAGATGGGTTTTTTTTTAATTAATTAAAAAAATCATTATGACGTATAATCATGAGATGAAAGGCAATCAATAATCTCTCCAGGTGACTCCAAATTCAAAAAGAAGGGGCTACCTAAGAATATAAGTGGAAAATGTATACAAAGGGAATTTGATAAAAAAATTTCTTTGGCAGGTCCCATAATATTCCTCTCTCTTCAGCTTTTTCATTCAATTTCTCTAATTTGACCTCATGTGACTCTTTTAAAAAGCATGTAGTACTGTGATTCAGCACTCTGTTTTTTCTTTTTTTCTTTTTTTTTTTTCCTGTGGTCGCAAAAAGATTTTTTACAGACATAAATAAGTACACATTGTATATATCTACATAAATGACAAAAGGTTGAAAAATACAAGACATTTGGTTGGTGTAGTTGTCCTCTCTATGAAAAAATAAAATAAAATGTAGCACATCTAGCAACTAGTTATCCTTAACTAGATAGGTATGAAGAAGTGAAGATAATTGCACTTGGGGTCATAGTCTAACGGAACGAGAGCTTATCCCATGAGCATCATTCTGATTCGACTCTCTTTACGTACGTTTGTCACTCCTACGATGTCTTACATGTCCATTGAGCTTGTAGGATGTTCGGTAGGCTTCGGGGATTAGTCGAGGTGCCTACAAGCTGATCCGGACATCCCGAATTATAAAAAAAAAAAAAAAGTGAAGATAATCTAAACGATGAGAAAGAAAGAGAAGAATGCAACTAGTCGGGAATATTGGCAATGATCCAAAGAATTAAAAGAAAAAAATAATAATAAAGGAATAAGCCAGTTTTCTAAGGCACATGATCTAGCAAAGTCTCCGCTGGTTTCTTACATGGTCTAAAAATTTGTCCTCCGTGTTGTTGATTATTTAAGTAAATAAGTCCACGTGAAAATGGAATTTTGGGGCGTGGGCTTAGAGAGATGGAGAGGGTAGGATTCTCGAGTTTACAGAGCTTAGGCCATGTGATAAAAGCAGCTCTCTTCTTCTTGTAAAGCGACCACGCCCGTTTGGCTACAGAATTATAAGGCATTCTAAATACAATAAAATATCACAAATTACAGAAAAAGCAAAATCACGGAAAAGGGCTAAAAAACCATAATATTTCTTCAAAAAACACAAAAACTTAAAGCTCCAAAAAGTTGATTTTACTCTCTTCCCAAAACCCCGGTTATCTAAAATACCTTTCAAACACAGCCTTTCCCACCCTTCAAGAACTCCTCTCCTGTCTTATATATATACCACTACTACAATATGCTTCTCTTCACTTCCATTTCCAATCTCCAAAACCATTCTTTGCTATTTACACGCTATCTTTAGGAGGAGTACTTACTACTACTATATAAAGTCACCACTTGAGTTAATAACAAGTGAAAGTAAGTGAGTGAAAGAACGAGAGAGAGAGAGAGAGAGAGGGAGAGCGCAATGGCTGCTGATAAGGTTGTGGAGACAGTGATAGTAGGTAACTATGTGGAGATGGAGACTGAAGGGAAGCCTATGGACTTAAAAACAAGAGTTTCTAAGTTCTTATGGCATGGTGGTTCTGCTTATGATGCTTGGTTTAGCTGTGCTTCAAATCAGGTTTTTTTTTTTTTATATATTTCCTACAACCTTTCTTTCATTTTATTTTGGGAAATTAAGGTTTTTGTTAATGAGTTTGCTTGGTTTTTTTCAATTCCTTGACCAGGTGGCTCAAGTATTGCTTACATTGCCGTACTCATTTTCTCAACTAGGGATGCTATCAGGCATTTGCTTTCAGCTCTTCTATGGGTTACTTGGTAGCTGGACAGCTTATCTAATTAGCATACTGTATGTAGAATACAGAACAAGAAAAGAACGAGAGAAGGTTGATTTCAGGAACCATGTCATCCAGGTTAGTTAATTAATTTTCACTCTAAATACAACAAGTGCAAGACAAAATTTTCTTATCTTATACACTTACAACTTGTTAATCCATGTCTTAACACGGGTTACCATGTTTTTCTGTGTATTATTAATTGTATAATTTTCAATCGAACAGTGGTTTGAAGTTCTTGATGGGCTGCTTGGAAAGTACTGGAGGAACGTGGGTTTGGCTTTTAACTGCACTTTTCTTCTGTTTGGATCTGTCATTCAACTCATCGCTTGTGCAAGGTTGGGACTCTAAAACCTACCCCTTCGTTAACTCTTGCTTCAAACTTTTTCCTCATTTCTTTTTAAATATGAAACTCTCTACAATAAAGAATCTCCAGCCTGACTGTTGGGTTTTCTCTAACTTTGTTGCAGCAATATATATTACATAAATGATAATCTAGACAAGAGGACTTGGACTTACATCTTTGGGGCTTGTTGTGCTACCACGGTGTTTATTCCTTCATTTCATAATTACAGAATCTGGTCATTTCTTGGTCTCGTTATGACAACTTACACTGCTTGGTACCTCACCATTGCTTCCATCCTTCATGGCCAGGTAATATATTATTTTACGCTCACACCATTTTAAGCACCAAGTACGAAACTAAGAATGCATGGATTTTTCATGCAATAGAGCCATGACACGTTGCCCATCACATTAGGACAACCTGTCCTTCACATGTTACTGGTCTTTGAACTCTGTTGGACCTATTTCTTGTCAAGAATTAGAATAATGTGTTACCTTAAGCTCCTAATTAATATTATAATGTGTGATGATGGTGGTTAGTGGACTAATTATGTGTAGGTGGAGGGTGTTAAGCATTCGGGTCCAACAAAAATGGTGCTATATTTCACTGGGGCCACAAACATTCTCTACACATTTGGGGGACATGCCGTTACTGTGTAAGACAAATCTAGATTTATAATTCGTGTCTTCTACGTTATTTACAAAATTAATGTTTCTATCTATCTTCGAATTGTGTTTCTTAATGTCTTTTCTTTTGAATTTGGTCATAAAAATGTTATTGTGAAAATAACTAATCCTTCAATTGCTAGGACATTACCTGACCAAGTATTATCAAAACGACCAACCTCTGTGTTTGGGCATTTAAGGCTGATTGTTTAAATACCCAAATTGCCCTTCCTAGGCGTGGGAGGCAAATAGTCTTTGTTTCCTTGGGACTACTACTTCCTTTTTAACGTAGAAAGCCAATCATCTTTTATATTTGTTGCTTTTGCTTTTATCATTAGAAAATGCCAAGAGGGGTCCAGTTTTTTCAGTGATTCCTCCGTGTTAGATTTCTGGTTGAGAGGAAAAAAGTAAAAATATAAAGGCAAAATTCTTCAATGCTTCCTTCATTACTCTATAAATGCAAGGACTTCATTAAATTCCAGATCGTTCAATTTCAGATGCTTTCCTTGTCCTCGAGTTTGTCCCAAAAGCCTGTAAAAATGATTACTACTGGGTTGTAAGATCATTGCTCTTGTAAATAGGGTTTTCGCTAGCTTATAGCTTATGAACAAAATGGGATGAGGTAAAAACCAAAAAAAAAAAAAAGAAGAAGAAGAAGAAGAAGAAGAAGAAATTACCACTCAATTAGGTCCAATTTAGTCTTACTCTGGCTCAAAAGAAATTTGTCAGCTTAATTACAGAAGTATGATGTAGGAAAAAATAATATAAGAAATCTTAGTAACTTGTGTCCCATAATAGATATGATTCCTTTCCCTTTTTGGTTTGATAGAAATGTTATGATGAGTCCACCGGATTTAACTAAAGAAATGAATTTTGGCGAGACAGGGAAATAATGCACGCTATGTGGAAGCCTCAGAAATTCAAGGCCATATACTTGCTGGCTACTCTGTACGTTTTGACTCTGACACTTCCTTCAGCAGCAGCAGTATATTGGGCATTTGGTGACATGCTTCTCAACCACTCCAACGCCTTTTCTCTCCTCCCAAGATCTCCCTCCAGAGACATGGCTGTCATTTTAATGCTCATCCACCAGGCATGCACATAATACACTTATTTATACGTATATTTATACATACACGTATAAATAACAAAGTATTACTTGTTTCATGTGTTTGCAGTTTATAACATTCGGGTTTGCCTGCACACCATTATACTTTGTGTGGGAGAAAGCAATAGGAATGCACGAATGCAAGAGCTTGTGCAAAAGGGCCGCAGCCAGATTGCCTGTGGTTATTCCCATTTGGTTTTTAGCTATCATCTTCCCATTTTTTGGACCCATCAATTCCACTGTTGGATCACTCCTCGTTAGCTTCACAGTCTATATCATCCCTGCCCTAGCCTACATGTTCACCTTCAAATCATCTGCTGCAAGAGAGGTACTCTTATACCTTCTTTAACTTCTTCTAAGTAGAACTACTATGCTATACTCTCATTGCTTAACACTATACCAAAACATGAAGTTACATAATTAGTGTGAGGATGCGCGACGTAGAAAATGACAGGCTTTTGCCAGGCTCAGAATGATATCAAAGTTTGACTGAACAGTAAAAGTGAAAGAATTAAAGTTCATTAATTAATGTCCAACAACAAAGTGATTAATTAGGGCTAATGACAATGTGTAAACAACAAGAAATGCAGATGGTAGCGTGTGGTCACATTCTAGCAGACCAGACCCGAACCTTTCTCTTAAACAAATAACAATATACAGTAATTAGGATCATATTGTACAAGCCATTTAATACTATGATGCTTAACATTTAAGACTTTTAAACAATCATAATAAAAAAACAGTTGTGCTTCCTCCTTTTTTTTTTTTATTCCCTGAAATCCCATTTTTTAAATCAATGAATGAAATAAATACCATCAAATGCTCTACAGTTTGAATTTTCATCTTTACCCTTATAGATTCAATGGTTAATTTTAAACTATCGAGATAGAATTTTGAACGTGAAGATGGATATATAAGAGCAGAAATAGAGTTTACCTTTTTTGAAAACTTCGAATGATTAATTTAAAATGGAAGAGCCAAATATGATTAATGAGTATATATTGGGCTGGCATTGGCATGCAAAAAGGAACGAGACGGCGTGCTGCGCCAATAAGGCAGAGTATCTTTTCGTACCTGATTCTTCATATCTTGTTTGTACTCTATTAAATTGTCTTCTCTTGATGGACCTTTTCTATGCCGTACAACTGCTAGCGACTAACGTATAAATAGACCCCACATAAAATATGTGGGACCCTGTCTCTCTGTCTCTCTCGAGAACAGTCTCAAATCTCAACACTGAGTACTTCACCGGTTCACCCTGTGTTGCAATTTGTACATTATGTGGCTTTGTGTTTTTTGTGATTGCAGAATGCAGTGGAGCAACCACCGAAGTTCATGGGAAGATGGGTAGGGACTTTCGTGATCAATACATTTGTGGTGGTGTGGGTACTAATTGTTGGGTTTGGATTTGGTGGGTGGGCTAGTGTCACAAATTTCGTACACCAAATTGATACTTTTGGGCTCTTCACAAAGTGTTACCAATGCCCGCCTCCAACGATGCCAACCCCATTGCCGCACCTAAATGCCACAGCGGCTCCTTCGCCTCTTCACCATCCCAACAACCATACTCACAGCCCTTGATTTTAGCCGCTTCGAAATTTGCTAACTTCAGAAGTTCCCATAGTCATCTGAATTCCACCAACGGCCTTGCCATCTTAATCTGCTTGCTTGTTAGACCATGGACAGAGGATAAAAAATTCACAATATGGGTGGCTTGTCAACATTGTCATGTACTCATAAACATACAAATTCCATCCTATTTTTATCATCAATCTCTGTCTTTATTCTGTTTAGAGAGTTGTTATGCGTCCTATAAGGGAAAGTAAAAAAAAAAAAAATAGTTGTATGAAATTTTTGAATGTGTACTTTTTAGCTATGAGATGCCGAAATGTTTAGCACCTACTTTACTCCAAGATTCTACTTTCTACCTTTATCATTCTCCTCCTCCTGCAAGAGTTAAGAAATAGTAATTAAAGGGAGTTTTTTTTTTTTGAAAAAAAGAAAAATTGACTCGCAAATTTCAGCAACACAGAGTCCATCAGAGCAAGAAATTGATAAAAATAGTATTTATCTTAAATGTAAGGATGCTGATATTGCCACTCCTTGGTTTTATAATGGCGCCCCATAATTTGTTTTTAAAATTGTCTCAAGCTGACACGATTGCCCTACGCAGAAGGAACCAAAATCTTCCGAACAGTATGTCGCTCCCTTTGTTTACAAAATATTAGACACGGGTTTTGCCACTTACCAACCAAAATGGATGAATTCGCTTCAATTTTCCTTTGATTTTGCTCTAATCTCTGCTTCATATAGACATTCTTCTCTTACAGTTAATGACAACATGATTACTTTACTATGTTAATTTGCCCCAATAGAATAGAACCATGATCATTGTCGGAGCTACGCCGTCTCTGCAATGGCCATCGCCGGTCAAGTCAGACCGTAATCCTAAGTCCGCCAGTGACTTCATTGGGTCAATCTGGATCACTGGCCAACTACAATAATTCAAACTCGAAATATTGGTAGAAGAACAAAGGGGCAGGATTGGGTATTTAGATAGCCGGAAAAGGTTATTTGGACAACGACAAACAAGTCAAAAATAACAAATTCAGGAAATGGGCTTGGCTGGAAGAAGACATTAAACGACGTGTATCTAGTTTTTGTCAAGGCCAATTGTGTCAATTCAAAAAAGTAATAAAAAAAAAGGTGGAGCGCGGTTATAAATGAATGGAGCGGCAATATCAAATTCCATAATTTTGAATGGCCAAAGAGATTTGCTATAGCATTGCAAAGCCTTTTTTTTTTTTTTTAAGTAAATAGTTGGCTATGTATTTATATAGCAATCTAAGTTTTTAATATGAATTCATGGTTTTAAATGCAATTGTTATATTGTTCAATAATATTTAAATTTTAAATGTATTATTTCGATTTTTCTTAAAGTTTTGAGTGAAATGCTTTGATTAAAATGCATTTTTTTTTAAGAGTTCAAAAATAAAACTAGCAGGTCCTGTGATTTTATTTTATTATTATTATTATTATTATTATTATTATTATTTTACATCAATCAAAAGTATTTCAGTTAAATTTTTCTTGCAATTAAAAAAATTAATTGAAATAATATATCAGAGACTAAAATAATATTTAATCTCATAATAAATATGATTAAAAATATAGTAACAAATTGAATAATCAAGTTATTATAAGATGACAGATTAACTTATTTATCCAATTTTTTTAACTAATTAATGTTTCCAATTTTTTTTCTTCTGAATTTATGATTTTTATTTTGTGATAGCAATGGCTATTTCATGAATTGCGTTGGAAAAACGGCAAAGTTTTAGGGCCGATTTTCATGTGTTTGATCCAGTAAAAAACTAGACTAAATATTTTCATGGGTAGAGCTACGCTTGTTCTGAGGGCATAGCCCCACCCCCTGCTTTTTATCATATGCATTTTCGTCCTTCTATTTAAGCATTCTTGTAGTAAGTACCTTCTAAGATACATAATTTTATCTTTATATTTAAATGTTTATTTTTTTTTAAACTTATTTTTTTTTGAACTTACACAACTAAAGCTCTTCACATAAATTTGAACCCCAACATAATCATTGAGTTACAAGCCCTTTCGTTACATTTAAATATTTATTTGATAAAACCTTCCTTAAAATTTATACATTTGATTTATGTCAAGTAAGGCCTTTAAAATTCATTTAATAAAAATTTGATATCACACATTTCTTCAATTTAGAGCATAAAACCCTCGAATTATCCTTCTTATCCTCTGTTCTCCATTTTACCAGCTTGTCACATCAAGTTTTCCATTTCTGAATCTCCACGGCAATTAGTGTCACATTCAAATTTTCATCTCATTGCCTGGAACCTCTGGTTCCCCCCGGAACAAGACACGGGGGTGCGTAGATCGATCATGAAAATGATACTTCATGCAACAAAGTCGTCACGACCTTGTTACTTTCTATGCAAACTATACCAAGCTCATTCCATGATTATAGTAGGTGACTTGACTTGATGATAAAAGGCCAACCAGATCAGTCCCTAGTAATTAAAAAGAAGAGAAAGATGAATGAATGAACGACGTAAGGATGGAAGGCTACTGTTGCTCAATATTTTGAGCGAATAAGGCTGCCAGAACTAGATACCATGTAATGTGTCATGTGGGAATCTAATAATAATAATCTGCCATCTATTTATAAAGCTTATAATAGCAGAGCCACAAAGTCGCTCAAAGTTTCCTTTTTTTGACAGCCCACGATCCCTTTACAAGAGCATGCGACCCCCATGAAAAACAAAGCTTCATATCTTTTCTGTAAAGATTGGTTAGGTTCTTACATGGTTCCCACCTTTATTCCACAGACAAGAAGACAATAATATATGCGAGGGAGTCATGCTATGTGGTTTGGTTATTGCCAATTCAGTGATTTAAAATTTCTGATTCCAATCATGTCTGGTGTAATTAGCAGGGAATCAAATTCTGTTAAAATGTCATTTGTAACTCAAAATTATAGTAAAAAAAAGAAAAGAAAAAAAGAACAGAATTTAAGTATTTGCATTAACAATATCCAAGAAATTGTCATTATATAATTGTGAAAGAATTAGTTTCATTTCTGCATTGGAAAAGGCTATTCTAAATATTATGATTGTTATTTAATTTACAACTAGTAGAAGGAAGTGACAGTAACTAATTTTTTTAGTGTCCTAGAAAAGAGATAAATGCACTTTAAGTACATCAACTTATAATATTTTTTTTTCAATCAAATATATAGATTTTAATTCTTTCATTTAAATATTTCGATTTTTTTCAAATCTGTCAATGAAATATTTTTTAAATTTCTTTGATACGTGATGGCGTGTTTGTTATTTTTAGAATACCAAATTAAAATTTTGTCTTTCTTTTCTTAATCGAGTATATGGACTTTATTATTTAATATTTTTTTTTAGTATACTCACTTTTTTAAAACTCGTCAATCAAGTATATATTATTCTCGGAATACCAAATTATTGTTTTACTCTCTTTTTGTTGGAGAATTTTTTTTCTTCCAAATTATTCGATTATTTTAAAATTTTTATTTTTTAGCTATTTAACCCTAAACTAAATTCAATTAGGTCTAGGCATGTCAATTAAAAAAAAAAAAAACACAAATGTGAGATTTTTTTATTAAAGAGATTTGTTGGCTGTGAGTATTTAAGGTGAAAGCTCCTCCAATAAAAAGATATTTGAGTGGTAGTATTTGAAAAAATCAATTAATAGAAAAATTGATGAAAGTATTTGATTGTTAGTATTTGAAAAAATCAATATACTCAAATGAAAACAATTAAAGTTTAAGTACTCAATCAAGAAAAAAGATAGTAAAATTATAATTTGGTATTCCGGAGATAACGAATGCGTCGTTTGTTAACAAAAAAATTGATAAAAATACTTGGTTGGTAATTAAAAAAAAAAGTATATACTCAAATGAAAAAAAAAATCTATGTATATAGTTGAAAAAAAGTTAAAAATTGATATACTTGCATTACAATTATCCTTCCTAGAAAAGGATGGAATATAAAATACTTGATCTCTAAATCGGAATCTATGTTTTTGTAAGTTCTTCGGAAATTATTTTTTCGACGACTATAGATATATTGAATTAAAACGATATATATATACACACACACACACGTATGTGCGCGTGTGCGAGCCTTCTTCTTCTTCTTCTTTTAATTAACTAAATAAACTAAAACAAAATCTCGGTTTATTGTTTCAAATATTGTTCACACACTCACAATTCACTATTCATAAGTTTTTTACACTTTGGTCCATGATCTTTGCCAACTAATCTTTCGGTCCACGTCCTCATTTGCTCAACCATTTTGGTCCCTGGATGAGAGAGAAGGGAGGAGGAAAGATAGAGACGGGAGGAGAGACAAAATCATCGGCTAAGCTTATTTAGGCCCCTTTGACCTACGAAAATTCACTAGATTTGTTTATCTTTGAGAGATGAGTTTGTCCATGATTTTTTCAAGCCATTAAACCATTAGAGGAGGTAGATTGGAGCCAAAAAAGGAAGGAAAGTTCCGATTTGATTATGTAATTTGTTTTTGTTTTTCTATGCATTAAAATGATTTTTAAGGTTTTAGATATGTTTATTGGCTTTATTCCGGTCATTTAGAGGTGTTTAGGAAAAAAAATGATGCCGAAATTTAATTTCTAGGAGTTTAAAACTTGAACCCCGACTTTTCGGCGATCTCGATCGCTGAAAGTTGTAGCTTTTTTTTTTTTTTTTCAGCAGCTCAGTGCTCGAATGTTTTTTTTTTCTTTTTCTTTTTCCCCTTCCGTTTCGGCTTAGGAAATTCTTATTTATTTTGGTCCCTTCATTTTTTTTTTTAATTTTGGTCATTCATCTTTTCCGATCTTTGATTTTTATCCCTATAAAAAATATTAAAATTTTATGATATGTGATTTTAATCCCTATAATCAAAATTTTTTTTAACTTTTAGTAAAAATTTATGTTTTTTTCCTGTTTTTTTAATATGTTTTTATTTTATTTATGAAAATTTTCTCATATTTAATTTTTATCCTTACTATGCTAAAACTAAATAAAATTTACTATCCTAAGGTTTTTTTTTTTTACGGAAATTTTCTTTCTATTCTAATTTCTATTTTGTTATTTTTTCTTTCTTTTCGTCATTAAATTTAGTAAAAAAAAATTTTTTTGTCTTTGTTTTGTAATTTTTTTTATAATTAAAATTTTTTCCTACAAGGAACTATTTTTTATTTTTAATAAAATTTTTTTGTTATATTTTGGTTTTTGTTTTATGATCTTTCATTTATTTTGACCATTAAAAGTTTATTATATTTAATTATTAATCATTTTACATTAAAATTAAATACATTTTAACTATCCTAAGTTTTTTTTTTTTTTTAGTGAAAAATTTTATGTTTTGATTCTTATGTTATTAATTTTTTTTATTTTAGTCATTAAAATTCTATAATATTTACTTTTGTTCCTGCCTTATGCAAAATGAAATTTTTTTAGTCTTATTATTTATAAGTATTTTTTGTATGCTTTTAGTGAAAGTTTTTTTTATTTTTTTTATCCTTTTATAATCTTTACTTTGTTTTAATCATTTAATTTTTATCATGTGTAATTTTATCTTTATTTTATTTTCCAAGTTCTCGATTTGACAGAGCTTTTTTATCTTTTTGTTTTGAATGGTCTCTATGTCTCATTAATAAATTATAGATGAATAATATATGGTAAAAATTAATCATAAAAAATTCAAAAAACTACCACATTATTATTTTAATTATCAATTATTAATAAAATACATGTTTATATAAAAAAATCTAATTAGCAATATTATATTATTCAACTTTACAGATTTTTCATTAGCTAACACTATGACAAATTATGAAATATATGTTTTAATTTTTTTGTTAAATTATTTTTGTATGATATTGTCAAATAATGATTTGTAAATGTTAAATTTTATATTAATAAATACATAAAATAATATATAATTTATTTTGTTGTAACGTACGGGATATATGCTAGGTCTAAACTATCCAAGAAAGAAAAGTTTGAAACCCTATAGGAATCCAGGTTAGTAAATTGCTTTACATTTAATCAAAGTTGGCCCAGAAAACATAAAAAAGAAGGCAGTCCCGACACGACAGCCCAGTCCAAGAATTGCGCGACCAACGTTGTCCACTCTAGCTGCATTTCCCTGCTTCATCATAAGAAGGTCCATTTTCATTTCTGGTGAAATTTGCTATAATCACTCTTTTTTTTTTATTGGATGAAAACAGCCTCAAGATATTAATTTTTTAATTAAAATGGTTTGATTTTTTAGGTTTAAACATGAGAACAACATCTAAGAAAATTAATTTTTTTTAAAAAAATACTGATGTGAACAATATATTCTTAAAATTTTCTAGAAAAGAAAAAAAACTTAATTTTTATTGACATGAAAAAAGATCTAAAAATATCCATACAATCGAATAAAGATAAATAAGTTATTGGAAGAAAAAAATTGTTTTTGCAATTTTGCTTTATTTTTAATATGTAAAATTTAACCTAAAACTTTGAAAAAAGACAGATATAAGGAAAAAACATATAAGATTTGAACCTTCGAACTCGAAATTATGCCCAATAGTTTTAATCGATTGTCATACATACTTTTTATTGATGTTACTTTAGATTTTATTGAACGAAGATGCGTTCTCACACAAAAACACAGAAATAACTGGAAAAAAAAAAAATCCCACACTAAAATAGTAGGAAAAAAAAACTCTATAATGCTCCACGAACCTAAATCTTGGTCTAAACCCAGCCCATGAAATCATTGGATCAATTGGGCTCAGTCACAGCCTTTGCGTTGACGCAACGGCTGGTTCCTCTTCTTCACAAACGAATAATAGAAGGCCACATGGCGTAGTCAATTGCAGCCAATTCCACTCTATTAAATGACAGCACGTCGGTTCTCCCACAGGAAGCGGGGCCCATGGGGCAGAGAATTCAAAAATAAAATAGGCTCCCTCCAAATCGAGAAAAATATATTTTCATTTCTACCTTTCATTATCTCTCGTAACTTACTCTGTGTTTGGATAGAAAGGAAAGTGAAAAAAAGGAAAGAAAATGAGGACGAAAAGAAAAGTTTTCACCGTTTGAATTGAGGGAGGAAAGTAATAGAAAGAAAAAAAAAACAATGTAGAAATAATGCGATCCTTGCCTTAGCCATTCCCTTCATTTGCTACAAACACAAGGTAACAGATCTGCAACGCCTCAATCTCTCTCTTTTTTTACAGTTCTTTCTCCGCTATAATCTCTTTCTCGTTGATCCTTTCACATTAATAATAGATCAGCAAATCAAGTTATTGAACCTTGCATTAGTTGATCCATTCGCATAACAAATTTTCTTTCCTCCCTAATTTATCCGACAAAAAGCGTCTCCTTGGGTGTTTCCGAATAGCAAAGCTTACACCTATTCGCAAATCAAGTTATACTATAACATCTTTGATTTTTCATGAACAATTCTTCACGGGTAAGTCAATGATATAATCGGAGGAGAACTGTTCAGTTAGGTGCCTCAAGCCCAAGGAAAAGGAATTTTTCTTCTAATTTCATAATAAACTTTGTTTATTTAATGATTAGGTAGTCCATTTAAACACTTTCTTCCATTAACCACCTCTAGAGTTAATCATCTAACCCTATTTAAGAGATAATTAGACTTCTCAAAAACTGAATTAAGTTCTACTTATTCTTCATCCACTGCCTGAGGCATGGAAAGCATGAGATCAGAAGTCCAGAACATTTATACAGCAGATGGACATTAGAGGCTGTTTGGAATGGAATTTAACTGATCATCAAGGGGTTCTACAAAAACTTTCACTTCGTTTTGTTTGGTTTAGGGAAATTAAAAGCCCAGTCTTCAAAGACTAAAAGCCCAACATTGGAATTGAAGACCCAGCTTGAGTTCTTTCACAACGTCAGCTTGATCAAAATTAACCACGAAAATTATAGATCCTGGTAAATACTGGGTCACGCATAAAGAAGGGTAAATGGTTTCCCGTAACAAGTTTACTGTTTTCTTAAATATATGCCTCAAATCAACATAACTAGAAGGGAATTTTGTTTGAGCAGCAACCAAATTGCACAAATTGCCCTTAATTGCCCAGAACAAAGAGGTAAAATTTGCACAATTAAGAGCTATGGTCTTTATTACGCTCATAAATTAACAGATATATATATACATATATGTGTGTGGTTAATACTTAAGACTTTGCCTCAGCTAACAACACATTTATTTCATGACAAATGACAGCTCAAATAAAACGAAGGTGCCTACTACATCATCCTCACATTACGATGCTTAAGTTATTTTAAAGTATGGTTTGATTATTAGGAATGAAAAAATTAAAATTAAATAATAAAAATAATATTTGTATTTTTATATTATGTTTGAAATAATAACAAAGAATCAAAATGAAGTTTAAAATTTTTAATACCTGAAATTTTTTTAAAATAAGAATAATGATTAAAAAAATAATTTCATTAATTATAATAGTGGTAAAAATAATAGAGGTGATTATAGTGGTGATAATGATAATAAAATAAAAAATGATAGTTATAATAAAAAAGAAATGATAGTAAAGTAATAATAATAATTTTTTTTGGAATTTGTTTTATTATCATTGTCAATGATGATAGTGATTAAAACGGTGGAGGTAGTTATAATGATAAAAGTTATTAATACATAATAAATAAAAAATAATATATTATTATTTTGAAGAAAAAAATTTATTTTTTATTTTTTATTCACTTTCTCTTTCTCCATAGGAATGAAACTATAATTCTCATTCCCACTATTATTATTTTTTTTTTGTCACTAAACAACATCTATCCTAATGACTGGATTAAATTACTCAGCATAAATCTTGATATTCCTTGAATTTGTTTTTCTTAAATGATTTAGCTATTTATGCTTCAATTCAAAAAACATAAATAGAAAACGAGAACTATACCAAACGGATCTTCAGTCTCCGTAATTTAAAGATCTGTCTGGTCCAAATTGAAGCGGCCTATCCCAGCTCACTACGCCTACTACCTGCTAACAGTTTTCACAGGCCCAACAATATACCACGAGGGCACAAAACGCAAAAGAACCCGCCAAATATAAAACAGTTAACAGTCAACTTCCATGACCACACAAAAGAAAGCAAAAAGTCACAAGCTCACACACTACACAAGAATAAAGTAAAGTTCTTTACTCACTCACAAACACAAAACCCTCTCCTTTCTGCAATCTTCTTGATCTTTCTCAATCTTTAATGGACCATCTCTTTCGATGTTTCATTCTTTTCACTCTAATCTCACTCTCTTCTTTCTCAGGTAATTACTAATCAAGTTCAAGAACCCGTGATTTTTTTTCCAAATTTAAAACTAACCCAGGTTCTTGATTCTTCTTGCAGGGGTAGAACCAATTACTTTCAAATTCATTAACAAGTGTAGGCGCACGGTATGGCCTGGTTTACTATCTGGCGCAGGGACAGCACAGCTCCCTACAACAGGGTTTTACCTCAAGAGCGGCAAATCAAGAACAGTAAAGATTCCAAAGTCTTGGTCGGGACGGGTCTGGGGTCGGACCTTTTGTACCCAAGATCCGACTGGTAAGTTCTCATGTCTTACTGGCGATTGTGGGTCTGGTAAAGTTGAGTGTGCAGGTAGTGGGGCCAAACCACCTGCCACTCTGGCAGAGTTTACCTTGAACGGCGCTAACGGGTTAGATTTTTATGATGTCAGCTTAGTTGACGGCTATAATTTACCTATGCTTTTGATCCCTAAGAAAGTGACACGTGGTGGTTGCGGCGCGACGGGGTGCTTGATTGACTTGAATGGCGCGTGTCCGAAGGATTTGAGGGTGTCCGCCGCGGCAGCTGGGGGTGGGGTGGCCTGTAGGAGCGCGTGTGAAGCGTTTGGTGATCCGAGGTTTTGTTGTAGCGAGGGGTACTCTACGCCCGACACGTGTGGACCGTCAATGTATTCGTTGTTTTTTAAACATGCTTGCCCACGCTCGTATAGCTACGCGTATGATGACAAGACGAGCACGTACACGTGTGCTGATTCAGACTACGATATCATATTTTGTCCATTGCCTTATACCAGGTAAATTTACTAATTTAACTTCGCCAATGATCTTATTTTGTTTGATGATCTTATGTTTATTTGACGATAGCTGAGTCATTTTCGTAATGATAAGTGGGTTGCCAAGTTGTCAAGTTCCAGAAATTTTGCATTTGTGTGTGGGGATGATGAAGTGGCTAGGTGGATTATAATTGAGGTGTGATAGTGATAAATGATGGACCAAATTAATGTTTGAAAGAAGACAATTTATTAGCAACCAATAATGATGTTGCTTAGTTAACTAAAAAATAATAAAAATAATGATGAAGTTGCTGTCTTGACAACCTTGGGTTTCGTTGGATTATTGGACGCAACAATAGATATTATGTAGGTTAAACATGAATGATGTGGGTTCAAATCAACGATTTTGATGTCCTATGGTATGGTTGGTTCCCAATTCAATGATGATTAAACCGGGGCATCTTGCATTTGCTCAGTTTAGCTCGCCTCTCTGCATGCACGAGCAGGAATGTGCACAGCAAAAGGCTCATTCCATGAATTTCTTCGTTGGTAAGACCTTACATTGAATAACTTTCCTACTTGACATGGCAGGAACTTAAGGACGAAGTGTTGAGACAGTTACCCACGTTTGTAGTTCATTGATTAGGAAGCTTTAAACCCTTTTCATTATAGAAATGGATATTCTGGGACCAATTTCTTCTACTGACATCAACACTGTCAAGAAGTTTGTATTTTCAATATTCCCATGAGTCATGATTTAGTGCATGTAATGTGTTCCTCTTGCCCTTTTCTCTTTGGAATTGATGCTACTTGATAACCTTTTTGTAAGGCCAGAACGTTGCTCACATTGAGTAGTCGGTCGCTCAACTATTATCTTCTGCTAGGTCAATTGCCTTGCGCTGCTGACATGACCCACCTGAATGTGAGCCGTAGTTGAACAATTGACTTATGAGTTGAAAGTATTTGCAAGCCGTCATTTTATTATGTTAGACCAGAATTGTGATTCACCATTTTCTTTGGAAATTCAAGTAATATTTGTTGAAACGAACATATTAGTCTACCTGTACTCTGAAGATTGCCCTAGTTGTGTTGTTCAGGGTTGAGTCGGTAGGGATTGGAGGGTTTTTTTTTTTTGGATGAAGCTTTTAGAGAATGATTATTTAGTTGAAATTTCTTCAGTGAGAATTATTGAAACATGATCCTTATTTACCGTAAGATATTACTGAGTTCATTTTCATGAGGTTCAAATTTCTTTTGTTATTTTTGTTGTTTGCCTACATTGACAGCAAACAACAACAGTTCTATCCATCATGTTCTATAGAAAAATTATTGTCTTTGTCAACCTAGAGTTGGATTGGATCATTAGATGCAACAATTGACAATGTCAATATAAATGTGAATGGTGTGGCTTCCAATTAATGGTTAAACCACTTCGTGTTGCAGAAATGAATGTTCTGTAATTACGGAGTTCTTGGACAAACATTGACGCTTTTGTTAAGTATTTATTTCCAACATTCCCATCGCTTTAGTGGGGCTATTGACTTCTACCTTTTGTGGTCATAACATTGCTTTCCTTGAGTAATCAGTTGATTATTTTACACTGGAAAGGTAGCCTTGTATCAGGAAACTTCAAGTATTTCCTTTCAAAATTGCAGCCAGAAACTGCTGGCATTGCGAAAAGATGGGGTGGAGCTCCCACTCGTGAACAAGACTATGATGTACCTACGAAGCCACGGTGCTTCATCTCCAGGTGTGGTTCAGCTGCAATTTCTTGCTGGCGCAGCCTCTATTGTAACGGCACTTTTGCTCTTATAGCCTCCTTTATTACCCTTGTGACTAACATTGGCCTGGACAATTTCAGGCAGCTAGTTACTTTAAATTTCAGTTCATGAAGGCTAGGGATCATGTTTCTCAATGCTGCACTGCTCTGCCGAGCAGTTGTTAAAGGACAGGAGATGATTGGATTGCAGATTGACGACGTCTGGCTGGCTTATTAATTGCTGTGAGAAATCTTGTACATTTCTTCCTCTATATACATGTATTTCTTTTATTTAGGCACACATGTTGTATAGGTCTCGGCAACATTCTATTTCCAGTGCATGTTCTATATCAATTTAACAAATGATTTTGGGGATACTGATCTAAACAAAAAATGCTATGATCAAATGATTGTATCACCCCCGAAATTATTGAAGGAGAAGGCGGCTTTGCTTTTGATATTACAGAAGATGTTGGGATTCTACAAGTCACAGCACTGAATTGAGGCGTTTTCTTCCCTTTTCTTGCATGGTTTATGTTGCTGCTGAGGTTTGAATAGTTTGGCAGCTGATCAATAAGATACTATTCACTCCATCAGAATCATTGCCAATGAGGTTGGAGAGTTTGGAAGATTTTTACAACCTTCGTCTCGCTCTAAGCTTCAAACGATGATCATCTAGGAGCTCTATCCCTAAATCCACACGGTGAAAGGTCAACCTAGAAAGAGTGGAGCTGGGGCTTGGATTGCGATAAGGCTTCTCGAGTATGGCAGAAACCATGTTGAGCGTTCGGATGTCTTCTGGCACTATGTCAAATTGTGGCATGGCATCAGATACACAATCAGTGGCATCAAACACAGAAGCTGTACTTTAGTCCCATAAGCATGAGATTAGAATGCATCAGAATCTAATATGGGACAGAATTTGAACGCTTGGAGGGTCCTAATACGGTAATAACAAGTAAAACAAACTTGAGATTCCAGGAAAGTACTGACGAGGTGACCGTATCCTGCTAACAGACTGAAATTAAAAACGCTTGACACATTTAACAAACAGACTGTAAAGCCTGCAAATCTCGTATAGTATTAGCACACGAGATGAATTTTTTACCTGGTTCTAATTTTTGTAACTTTGTTTTGTATTTTTTTCTGTCACTTTCTTTCTAAACTTAATAAAAAAAATAAAAAATAAAAAAACAAAGAAAAAAGGAAGCGTGCAAATCTAGTGAGGGGAATAAGCTAGCTGAAGAAATGTGCTAGTAGTCTCTGCCAGCCTATCAATTTGTGGAGTGGCTTCGGACATACTTTAGAAAGATCATCCGCAAACATAACCAATGTAGAAACTAACTGATAATGCTTTAGAATCTCGTAAGCATGAGAATGAAAGAATGCAGCAGAATCTAACAAACGATAAGTATTCGAACACAACTGAATATGGAGCATAAGTCCTAGTACAGAGGAAAATAAAACAAATATTTTCTAGGAGTCTTGAAACTTTGTACTAAAAGAAGAGCATAACATAAGTCATAGTAGTAACCTCAATTCGACAGCCAGAAATGGATCAAATCAATACACTAGAGGTTGTTAGGAATGAATCAAACAAAACAATAAAGTAAAAAAATAAAAATAATCGTACAACATAAAGACTTATTGATTCCGCAATTGTACTTATTTTACGGCTTAATTGAGATTTTTTATTAAAATTTTATTATGTTCTGATTATAAATATAAGTGAATAAATATAAGTGATATTGTTTCAATTTAAAATAGTACACTGCAGCACCTTAAAACCGAGGTTCATATTCTTGTCCTTCAACATCCCATCTCGGACAATTTGGCTCACAACCCGGCCCAGAAAAAAACGACTCACCACGTGGTGTATAGCTTCTTCTCTACGGAGATGGAGGGAGCAGAAGCATTTCGCTGTAAAGGGATTGCAGATATATTGACTGGTGACATAGTCACTCTCATCTCTTGCCAGGCAGAATAATAAATCATCGCATGCTGCCTCAACAGAAACATACTTTTCTTCCTCTGAAGAAATTCTATGTGTATAGTTCCTCTACTAACTCCTCGTCATTAGGAGTAACCAACAATTCTAAGCTCTGGATCTTCCGTTCCTGGAATAATAAAGACCCTAAGGGGACATTGGTATGCAGAATCATAATCACAATCCTTTTTCTTCTTCTTCCTTTTATCGGTATAGTGGGTTTTAAATTGGGTAATAAAAGAACGAGCACAGATTAAAGAACACCACCGTTTGCAGACCAACTTGGAGCGAATGGCAGATTTTAAGGGTTTTTTTTTTCATTTCAGTAAAAGCCATTTTGGTAAAAAAAAATTGTCCATAGTGAAAAAAATTAATCAGAACAACAGATTAAATATTAAATATTTAAAAAAAATTTAATAACAAATAAGATATAATTAGAAATCTAAAGAAAAATGAAGATTTAGATATTATATAAATGCTGATTGAGTTATTTACTCATAAAACAATTAAAAGTTCCATGACCACAGACAACAACTAGACCCGGCAGCAAAAACATGTAACACTCATTTACAACAATGTTTACGGAATTAATAGTGTTGTACAGCATTAATGAGGAAGATTACCTCAAATGTTAGGATTGATTTCGGCCAGTAGATGTGAAATGCGGTCACTGGTTCTTTTTCTTGCATAGTTTGTGTGTTGATCTTTGCTCATCTCGCATATACCAACATATTAGGCCCGTTACTGGCAGAGTGGCAGATCAATCTAAAGAATTTTTTTTATTTTTTATTTTTACTTCATTGGATAAATTGCCAAGAAAGGTTGGAAAATATGGAAGATTTTACTCCTTCCGTCTCAGCTGAAAAAATTGAAATTAAGATCAGACTCCTTGTCATGGCACAAATCTGTTGTGATGAGTATCTCAGAGAAATTCATGTTTATCAGAATCTCAATTGGGCTACACACTTTCTAGCCCATTGGGCAACTGGGAGAAGTTGTTTTCTTTGGTCTCTATCTGGGACACCTGTTCATGGACCAGCTTCTTCCAACAGTTTTCGAATGGGCGTAGCTTGGAAATTTGGAACAAAATTTGGGACCCAGCTCATAATCTTCTTTTTTTTTTTTTTTTTGCCCTTTTTTCAGAGGACAGCTAACAAATCTACTTAAGTAGGAGTACTATTTTTTTTTCTTTCATCTACTTAAGAAATATGAATTAACAATAACTAATCCAATTAGGGTATTTTTGGGAAGTAAATGCCAATAAGTTTAAATGATTAAGAGCATCTCTAATGCTCTCTTTATGTTAAGATTTTTCTTTATAATAAAAATATTTTATCTAAATTTCATTTCCAATGCTCTCTTTATCACAATCTCTATCTTTAAAATTGATACGAGAGAGTGTCTTGGCTCTTTAATACTAGAGAGTCCAAATGACTCTTTATCTTATATTTGGTTAATGAACATTACTATTTCTTATGCCACTCAATCTCTTCATCAATAATCTCTTTGGGTTTTCTAGATTTTGTTAAAATAAAGAGTTAAGTAAAAATAACATTAAAAAAGATATTGATCTTCAATCTATATAATTATTAATATTCTTTATTTATATTAAAAATACTAACTAAAAGAGCTTGATTGAAGATGCTCTAACATTGGCTTTCTAAAGCATTATCCGAATCGCATCAAATCTATTAAAGGAGAACTAAACATCAACATCCATTTAAAATGCCCACATAACAACTATCAACCACCCCTGTCAAGTCTCACAACCCTCTCTCGGTGAGAAGAATCAGAAGTCACTAGGCATTAGCCCACATGGTGTTGGTCAGTGAAAGCATGTGATGGATCATTGGATTGGAATTGTATTAACTGATCCCCAAACCACAAACATTCCAAAAGTCAGCACAAATTAAGAAACATGCCATACGTATTCATTTAATACTGTGTTTGTTTTCCAAAAAATAAGTTACTGTATTTTTCTCATTTTTTTTTTAAATTTTTCAATGTTTATTTCGTGCTTAGAAAAAAAAAATCAATAAAATTTGATTTCTTTTTGCTTTTTTTGAAAAGTGAGTTTTAAAATATAAGAAAAAGAAAATATTTTTTTTAAAAAATAACTTTTTCAAAATTATTTTTTCTATTTAAAGTTGTTTTTGGTTACACAACCAAAGCCTCAGAGGCAAGGCATTGATACTTGATAGTCCCTAAATAGAAAAGGACTAACCCTTGCACATGATTCCCCCTCCACAATCGTTAATTCCTCTCCTTGCAGAGCTGCAGGAGTTGGAAGATAACAATTGGCACAAGCCGCCAGTCCTTTGATTAAAGAGAATTAGAGTCAGACTGTTGTATCGACTTGCAAGTTCTCATGTCACATGATAGGCTTTTTTTTTTTTTTTTACATTACTACAAATTATATTTCTGAGTTACGTATTTATTTATTTTTCTGTAACAAGACAGTAAAATGACCCATAGTTGAAAGTGTCACAAGGATTCACATGATACATTGAATCACCAAACTCTATGAAAACCCTGATGGAGTGGGAGTTTTCTATTTGTCTTATCATCCTTATCTCCTCTTTAAAATTCAAAGAAAAACTGAGAAAACATAATGTTGATGAAGCCTGAACGACAATCAGAAAGGGGTTAAATTTCAGTAATTAGGAATGGGTATAACTTCAGGAAATTATATATATATTCAAATGAAAGCATGAAAGCCTGAGAAACGTTTTTGAAAAAATGGAGATGGCAATGGGCCCTAGAAAGAATGTTTTAATTCTCAACATTAATTTACCGCGACAGTCGATGCTTTTGCTGGTTTCTTTTGACAAAGGAAGATTGTTGAAAGGAGAAAAAGGAGGAAATCAAAAGCTTGGTTTGTCTGAAGAAATGCATATAAAAGCAAAGCCCTTTCTCTAACCCTCAGGAAGGATGAAGAAAACTAGATCCTCAGTAAATAAATAAATAGACAGTTTCACGAAGCATGCCAAATTCTCCTGGAAAACGCTTTGAGCTGTCGCAATTAATTGTAATGTGCACTTTAGACTTACGTGCATCGCATAGTCTGTATGTATAAAGATACACACACAATCCACATTGTAGATCAGGGTTCAACTATTACTAGCTAGATAGACCCATCGTAATTGAAAATATTACTAAAATCAAGTGATTTACGTATGAATCTTGCTTACGTTAAAAATGAAATATTTTAATACAATCTCAAAAATAATAAATTTAATTTTGATTAATGTAAAAACTAGTGTTATATATATACATATAAGGGTTGCCTTTGGTCGTGTAATGTAAAGCTATTTGGGGGGGATAAAAAAATCAACAGTAGAAACTAGAGACTGTAAGTCTGTAAGAAGAAGACAAAGATAGACAGTATTGCAGATGGCCAATAAAACTGTAAGTTGCCTTCGCTGTCTCCTAAACACTGATGTCCGTGATTGCACATAAACATAAGTCACAACAATGAATAAAATGTGAGAAAGGGAGAAGAAAACGCTCAAGGATTTGCAAAAAAAAAAAAGAAAATTGGTAAGGGCAATTGCACTTTTGTTGTTCCTTGCAAACCTTTGTAGCTGGCTGCTCTACCAAATTGACGGTAGCATGATAAGGAATTGATTTTGGAAATTTAATATTATTTATTAGCTGGGAATGTCATGAAGAGGTACTCTAAAATTGTGCTGATGCCAAAGAATGTCACAGACCCGTTAAACTTGCATGTGCAACCTGGGGCATACTTCATGGTGTGACATGGGTTCGCATGGGATGAATCCTGTTTGGACGGTCCCATGATGGGAGGACTGGTCAATCCAAATCAAAACAAAAACAGTGTAAATCATAATTATTCACTTTACTTTTACAAAACTAATTAATTAATTATTTTCGGTTTATTCATATTCCTTTTCAATTTATATTTTTATTTTAACGTAAGAAAAATGAAAAGATTGTTGAGGAAAAAAATACATTTTTTTGAATAAAATAATGTTAAATAAAATATGATTAATATTAGTTAAAAACATTTAACTTGTTAGTTTTTAAAATTAGAGAGACTATTTAATCTGTTTTATAAAACTAAATAGACTGATTTATAATCTGCTTGCCATATCTGTGAAATTAGGCATGACTCGAATTTTGAAAGTGACATTTGAACGCATTTTGATGTCATTGCGAGATTGAGCAGCAATGCCTTTTGGCAAAATAATAATAATAATAATAAAAATAAAAATCCACATTCTTCCTCTCGTGAAAAGGTTTTGGAATTAAGTTTCTACCTCATAATAATAAAAAATTAATTTCTCTCAGAAGTGAAGAGATTAATTTAAAAAAAAAATCATGAAGAAGGGAATGATATATATATATATATTTCATAAAGATAGTATTTTTTTTAATATCAAATCTATACAAAATAAATTACTCTCTTAATATTTATTGAAAGAATAAAAAAGATATGACAAAAATATTTACAATTTTGGTGAATTATTATCTTTTACGTAGCATCTAGAATTTTCAAAATAGAAATATTTGAACTTTTTAAATAAAAAATTTCCAAAAACATGATTTGAAAAAAAAAAAAACATCTACACGGATGAATCTTTTACTTTTATGGATTAAGAGGAAACAAATTGCACTATTATATTTCATTAATGAAAATTTGAGTAGTTAACTATTGTCTTTGTTTAAAAACTTAATTTCTTAGATATAAAGACATAAAACTCTCATTAAAATCATTAAAGGACATCTCGTGAGTTGATAGGTGAGACCCTAGAATATAATTTATACTAGTATTTAGAGATCCTAGAATATAATTTATACTAGTCTCTAACACACATGTTCAAGTGAAAGGCTCAACATTTGGGACATGAAACTTGTATGCAGTCCACATTGCCTTGTGCTTAATATTTGAGAAATTGAAGATGGTGAGACTTGAACTCGGGATATCAAAGTCAACCAAGCTTTGATACCATATTAAAAAACCATATCATCTAAAAATTTAAGCTGATAGGTGAGACTCAGAATATAATTTATATCGATCTCTAACATAGATAATCATACCTACAAATTAGATATGAAAAGATTAGATCCTAGTTGTAGAAAATAAATAAAAAGATGGAAAAAAAAACTAGCTTGTATTTTTTTTAAAAAAAAAACCTAAATAAAAAAGAGATTGCCGCAACTTAAAAATAACGGACAACAATCCAAACTAAAACTTATAGAAAGATGTTTTGTTCGAGAGAGAGAGAGAGAGAGAGAGAGCTAGAAGAGCCACAACAGAGTGTAAGAAGCGAACGATGTTAAAATGCGTACAACATGATAGAAAAAGAAAACCACTTTTATGAAGTTTTTAGTAAATGTTTATTATTTTTGTCAAACGGACGCAACATTAATGTTTGAATACAGAGAAACCTGAGAAAAAGATAGAAAGAGAAGCAAAATCTCAATTCTTCTCCCTTCTAAGCTTAAGCAGAGGACGAAAGTAGGAAAACGGCTTATGGTTTTCAATACCCTTTCCGCGTTATTCCTTCAAATCCAAATCAAATGAGAGACTTAAAAAAATATCGTAAATACATTTAGGAATGGATGAATCCAAATTTCTGGATTAGCTTATGGTTTAACCATGCGGTTGCACTGTCTCCCACATCACGAGCTACAATCTTTCACCAACCAAACAGAATCATGACTGGGGGGAGAGGAGAGATTTTACAAATTATCACACATAAACAATAAACTGTTCATGCTCACGACCTTGCATCTTCCGAATCAATCCAAGCGCATCTTTTTAATTATGCAGCCCATAAAGGCTAAAGCTACAACAGTTTGCAATCCGTACATCCAAATTAACTGGCATCAAATGGTCTGGTCATCGCATAGTTCTGAAAAGTAAAAACTTTATCTTCGAGGGGTAAACTCATACAAAGAACATACAATGACAAAAGCAAAAATCGTTCGATCTTTCATTATTGTGTTTTTTTAAAAAAACCCTTTATTATTCCTATTGGGAGCAATAAAACTGTACACTTTTTCCATGGAAAGTGGTTTGAATGGTCTTCACAATCGTGTGGTGCGGACCTTCAAATGATGCAAGTTTTCTGGCACTGCCATTTTTACAGCGTTTCACAGGGCTCAAAGTGTTGAAAAGGCCAAAAAACGAAAGTGTAATCATGGTTATTTGCGTATCAAATATTAATTATGGCTTGAGCTTGACCCACTTCTTTTCAATCAGCGTCCCTCCAAAATTAGGTGTTTTTTCTCGTGAACATTTCCATTTTTTTGCTCAAATCTGCAAATGTGTAGCTCTCAGTACTCCACTGAGTTGCTTGGGCTGGGCTCAAATAAGGGCGGAGTTTATAAAACTTGCTTGGAATGTCTTCTTGTATTTTTTTTTTTCGACAAACATGTTTTGTGATTCTAGGAGATTGGGAGTAAATTATAAATTAGTCTTTTTAATTTTAAAAAACTAATTGATTGGTCTTTATTTTATTTGAAAACATGTTTTCTTACTTTCTATAGTATCTTTTTTTCTGTTTTTTTTTTTTTTGAAATTAGACTAATTAATTTATAATTTACTCGTAATTCTAGGCATTCTTGGATTCGATGTGCGTATTGTTTCTAGACATTATTTTTATATGCTGGAAGTTTTCGAATTTGTAATTTTATTTTCTTTTCACAGTTGCATAGTATTTGATTTTGTTTGGACTTCACTTTGAGGTTAAGAAAGTTTGTTTCTCACATTATTATCTTGTTATGAAATTAAAATAAAAGATTATTATTTGAAAAACAGAATAGTATCTCCATCACGGCATAAATAACCTGTCCAAAATCCATTGAAAAAAGATTTGATTTTTATAAGGTGAAAGATGGCTTAACAACACCGTGATGTTAAAAAGAAAAAGTATATTTGAACCCATTCTAATATAATGAAATTATTTTTTTTCCCAAATAAAATATGTTATCCACACAATAAGTAGGTTTATACAACATTTATTTTAATGAACTATTTTGTATTGAATTAAATGACTTTATTGTTGCTAAGAAGTTGATTTAAGTTAAGAGAAAAAACTCATTTAGCTTAAATTCATAGATTTAAATCTCATCATATCTTTTAAGAGAAATTGTCATTCACATAAATATCTTATATTTCAATGCCATCGTAAATGCAATAAAATATAACAATATGTGTGTTAGCGTGATGGACACAATCTTTTTTTTTAGATATCATCAATTCACGTGTAAATTATAAATTAATCTCTCTATTTTTTATAAACAAATCAATTAATTATTTAGTCTTTTGATCATATTGATCACACTTAATTTAATATTATTTTATTTTAAAAAAGTTATGTTTTTCATCTATTTTTTTATATTTTGTTTTTAAATAAAAAATTAAAATAAACTAAAAATAATAAAATGATTAATTACAAGAAAATTTTAAAATATAGAGAATAATTACTCTCATGTGCGCACCATCCATTTATTTGGGGGAAAAAAAGTGACTTGATCAACTTAAACTAACTAAACCTTCAAGAATTCTGACCATTACTCCTATTCAGAGGGGAACAAGATTGTCAGTGTATTCTTTAACAGTTTCAATTAATTCTCTGCTTGATTTTGAAATCATTTAAGTCAATATTTTCAGCTTCCAAAGAATGTACAGTAAATCATGAAAAGAAGAGAGAGCATGGGAATCCTATGCCATGCCCATAATTGCACTACCCTAGCTGAGAAGACAGGGACCCCAAATCCCGTCTTCCCACGTGGCACAAATCAACGGTCATATTACTCTTGCGTGGCAATTTGACAGCCAACAAAACTGCTGGACCCGCGTTTAACAGTGCCACCTCAGCCCTGTCAGAGCTGCTTGGTACAGGATAAACATTTTTTATTTCTAGTTATATATTTACAAATGCTGATGTGAGAAATAAAGTGTGTCAGAAGGTTGGTAGGGCCTCTTTAATCTTGAAGTTTTTCTTCTTTTTGACTTCCTTTGTGTATGTGAATCGAACGGTTCCCCATCATTCTAGCTATGGGAATTCACGTACTAGAACATCTACCCTCTTACTATTGTGAATTTATTTATTAATCTGGTTTCGAAAGTAATAAAAAAATATATTTTTGCGAGATGTTGAAATTCTAAGGTTGTTGACTATTTGTATTTTCTAGTGCAAACACAACAATTATTATTATTTTGATAATGAAACAAATACTTTTTTTTTTTGGTATTCAATCATAAATTCTTTTAAATCGAGGGCTCGAATATGATGTATTATAAGATAAATGCATTTTCTTTTCCAAAATGGAAAAAACACAAGAAAAAGGAAAACTGTTGTGCATTTTGTTAACTATGTTTGTTATTTAACAACTAAGGTCACTCTGTAACTTAAGAAAAATTATAAGGTAACATTGAAAAATTTTAGTTCATAAGATGTGGAGTAGAATATCTCGAATTAAAAGAGCTAAAATATAATTTATTCAAAAACTGTTGTTTAATTTCATATCTGACTAATCATGTATTTGGTCTTTGTACTTTTTTTTTCTTTAATATGATTTCGATATTTATTTAATTGGCCACCCCTTTCATCCAATTTTCATCCCGGTTAATTCTTGACATGTATCAATTTTTCAGATATATTGTCAAGAATTGACGGTAAGTTGGTTAAAAAAAATTAAATTGAAGGACTATATTAAGAAATTTGATTGAGCAGAAGACCAACTAGAAAAATGTAGGGCTTTATTAGAAAAATGTCAACAATGCGAGGACCAATATATGATTAATTTAACCCCATCAACATCAGATGCAATTTTCCAAACTTGAGCGGAAACTTCTGTAATTACAAAGAAATTTTAGAAGAAGGGTGCTAGCTCACTCTTTTCCAAATATTTCGGCTGTTAGAAAAGCAAAACAAGATTTAACCAATCTCTGAATTAATGATGAAAAATTGAGAACTTAGCTCCAACCGCTTTTTACAAGGTATCTGAAAACAGTGACGTTTTGGAGATAGAGAGGGCCAGTCTGTCCGCGAGAGAGAGAGGTTCTACTATATCTGTGAGCTAATTTGGATTTATTCTCACAGCTCCTTCACTGTCTTCCTGTTTTTTTCCTATTCCTTTCTGGTTCTCCCCAGAAACTCTTTGGCTGTTTATGAGCATTGTACACTCTCTTTCCTCACTCATTAGTCCTCACTGCTGCTGCTTCCTTCCAGGGCATCAACAGTCTCTGCATTGTCTTCTTCTCCATTGTCATTACCTAATACAACATCTCCTTCATTATTGTGACAAACTCCAGCTCTAAGCTCCAATTGTCTACTAAACCAATAGTCGAAGTAAAAATAGCTCAAAAGGGATAAAAAGAAAAGAGAGAAAGAAACCGTCATGGATTGCTTCTCTTGCTGCTTCTCCACTCTCATTTCCAGCCTTGTTCTTCTTGTTCTTGTGAGTTATAAAGGTAATGATCCCACAAAAAGGCACTCTCCAGTGTCATTGCTCGGTCCTGCTTACATTTATATTCATATTAACAAAGCAACACTTTTTTACTAGGCTCATTTTGTGTTTAAGTGCTCCATTTCTTTGTTAGGCTTAGTCTTACCTAAAAGTCTCAATCTTTACACTAAGAAACCAAGTCTTAACAACATTATCGATGGGTCATGTTTATATTTAATCACTAATCAGTATTTTGTTCCCATTTTCTCATCAAGTCACTATCTTTCTGTAAGAACTACCTCAAGAACTTCTTTTTTAGAAGCCACCTAACTATATAGTCTCCGTTTTCCCCGAAGGGTTTTGCATTTCATGCTCATGTCTACCAACTAATGTGATTTGTATCCCATATTTATACAGGTGGTGTACTAGCTGCTACCTTCACTTTTGCAAACAAATGTGAGTACACAGTTTGGCCAGGAATTCTAGCCAATGCAGGCAGTCCTAGACTTGACAGCACTGGATTCGAGCTCCCACGAGACTCTTCTCGTTCGTTTATAGCCCCAACTGGTTGGTCTGGCCGTTTTTGGGCTAGAACCGGCTGTAATTTTGATGAATCTGGAGCAGGGACATGCTCAACTGGTGATTGCGGGTCAGGTCAAGTTGAATGTAACGGGCTTGGAGCTGCTCCACCTGCTACATTAGCAGAGTTCACACTGGGGTCGGGTGGACAAGATTTTTATGATGTTAGTCTAGTAGATGGGTACAATTTACCAATGGTCGTTGAAGGTAATGGCGGGTCGGGTATGTGTGCTTCAACGGGTTGTACATCGGATCTTAACAGTCAGTGTCCACAAGAACTGAAGAGCGGTGAAGGTGATGCGTGTAAGAGCGCGTGTGAAGCTTTTGGTAGCCCTGAGTACTGTTGTAGTGGCGCGTTTAATACACCTGCCACTTGTAAACCTTCTGTTTATTCAGAGATGTTTAAGGCTGCCTGTCCCAAATCTTACAGTTACGCTTATGATGATGCTACTAGCACTTTTACCTGTAGTGGTGCTGATTATACAGTGACCTTTTGCCCTTCCTCTCTAAGGTAAAAATTTCTCTCTTGGGTTACAGTTGTTTTTATGGTTTTGGGTTTTTGTTTTCGCTTGTGAATCTTTCATTTTTTTTATGCCTTTCTTTGCTTGGTTAACTATTATAAACTTATTAACGTTTGGTTGTTTCGCTCTTAGTTGAAAGTTTGTTCCTAGTTACATAGATGTTTTAACGGTAGAAGTCAGTCTAGCCCTTTGCTTTTTTGGTTGCTGAGGACACCAGCTGCTGCATGCAGCAGAGGATCCTAGAACGAACTTTGGTGCATGATTCGCACTCGCTGTTAGGATCTTGTACTGCATGCAGCCGCGGCTGTTTTGTTTGCCTTAAGAATGATTTTGGGTGAAATCATAATGAAATTATCCAAATAGGGAAACAGTTGTTGGGATGGTTTGTTTTGGTGCTCTTTTAACATTTTGTTCTTTTTAGCATCTGGGTTTTGGAAAGTGAATATAATTGTTTTCTGTTTGTTACAAATATGCTAGAAAGCAAAATTATGGTTGTAGTTGTGCGTGTAATGGCGATGTTAGTGATTTTTTTTTTTTTTTTGTGGTAATTGTTTATGTTTTATTTCACTTTCTGTTCGTATGGAGAGGTATATGGAGGCAAACTTGCAATGCCAAAGATTCCCTTTTGAATGATTAATTTATTTTGTTTGTTAATTGTTTTATATATCTGGGATTAATTGAGGTTGTTGGGTTGCAATCAATGTTGGCTTTTATATTACACCAAGGAATCTGAACAAAAATAATTATTCATGTTAGGGTAATAGTAATTGATAGCCTTCTTTTATCATGTGGTGTTGCAGTCAGAAATCTTCAAGCACCTCAACACCAACGACAGAAGGAACGACAACATCACAGGGGTCTGGTACAGGTTCCGGGGTGGAGTATGCGGGCAGTGGTTCAGGTACTGAATCTGGGGCAGGATCTGGAACTGGATCTGGAGGAGAAACCATGGTAGAAGATGGGTCCTGGTTAGCTGGTTTGGCCATGGGAGACTCATATAAGACAGCTTCTCCTTCTGTTCTCCAATCAGCAATAATGGCTTTTACAACAACTCTAGTCCTTAGTGTTGCCTTTCTTTACTTGTAGCACTAGGACCTTTCTCTTTGTTTCATGGCTCCCTGCTCTTGAATGTGAATTCTTTACAGATTTGCAGCCTTGATGGGTGCTTGGATTTTGCCTTTGTTAGGAAAAGCTGACAGATTCTCTCATCCAGACTGTAAACCGCCTCCAAGATTCTCTTCTACTTAAATTTTAAATGTTATATACGTAGAAAGTGTTTGTTTCTATTTTATTTTGAGGATTATTAGGTTCTCTCTTTGCTTTCGTATGTTTAAGCCTTTTTTTTTTTTCGGTAAGAGTTAAAGCAACCAATCAAAATCAAGGACAAGTTTCTGCTTTTGGTCTGCATTTTTGTTTTTGCTTTTCATTTCTTGTGTCCAATGGATTGTAAAGAAAGAAAGTATTTAGGTCTGTATAAAAATTTGGTTTGTGTAATGTTAATAGGATTGTTGGCTGTTGTCCAAGAGAAGTATCTCTTTGCGGGAATTGCAAGTTTTCGGCTTTGCTTTTGTCTTCGTATATCATGGAAGAGGATTTATTTGAAGACTCTACGGTATCCTTTTTAGGATACTGTAGGATGTCTAAATGATGGCAAAATGTCTAAATTGTCAAGTAGGCCCAAAGCCAAAAGCTAATATCATCATTTTGTTGACTTAACAAGCGAATAAAGTGAAAGTATGGTGGGATTCTTCATTGATAATACTGAATTAGCTTGTTTTCAAAGGTGATGTCACTGCCGTAGGACTTTTTCGCCTGAAATGTCCTGAATCAAAGCATGCTCCATGTTTATCTGAGAAGGGAAACTGAGCCTGTCTGAAGGGGTTTCAGCCTTAAATGAAGTTGCCCCTGTTAACTTTTAGCTAGGCTGACCTTATGATTAGATCATCTGATGCATGCAAAGAGTTATTGGCCAATTGCCAGTATAGATGTAAATAAAGCCCAAATTCTCTTGCGACGGACGGATCGATGTTAGCTGTTGATTAGCAAATAATGGACATGTATCTTCATTGCATTGTCATAGTGAAGATTCAATCAAATGATTAGCAGAAATTAATTGTGCAATACAAACAAATAACTTCCACCAATTTATAATGAGGTTGGCACTCCACAAGTTCATATAGAGATCACAATCTCATTTTGTATATTAAATTATCAGAAACCAATCATCAATCTTGAGGATAAATTTTGTATATTGAAGGTACTCCATTATTTTCCTTCTGGGTCCTACCACTAGTGATTGTCATCATATTTGCTGACCTTTCATGTTTCCTGGAGAAGTTTTCAACAAAGCTTTGAATTGTTTGCAGCGATTAGAAATTTCAAGAGTAATTCAACTGTCTTGAGTAAAAAATTTCAACTTCCACAGTTAAACGGCCACAAGAAACTAGAAAGCTGATTGTTCTTCAAGAATTTAAATGTGAAACCTGAGTCCGCTCAAGGCTAGAAGGAGACATATTAAACAAAAAGCTGTTGAAGAGGCGGAAAAGGGTACACAAGCTGCCTGCTAAAGGCCCATTAGAGGATATATTCTGCTGTTATTTTATTAGTGTTGGTCGACCAGCTTGAGGGGGCACCATCCACCCACTGCCTAATATATATATATATATTATAAACGAAGAAATAAAAAGAAAAAGCTTTTATCTTCTAGCTGAAAATTATTGACCACGACAGAAATATTTTCATGTTTTCTTAGTTATCAGTCATTACATCAAAGTTTTGTTTTTTCAATTAGGTAAGTCTAACAATTGTGTATCTAAATAGTTTTTTTTAATGAAATAAGGTTAAAATTTTAGTGATTTAAATTTTTTTTTGGTGATTATACGATGAAAGCAACCTATCTTATTGTGTAGTCTAAGATGCATGAACCTCTTGATAAATAATAATAATAATAAAAAGTAGACTACTCATTAAACGAAGAAAGAAAAAGAAAACGAAAAAAAGCTTTGATCTTCTTGCTGAAAATTGACCACCTGAGAAATATTTTCTTGCTTTTTTTAGTTATCAACCATTACACCAAATTTTTGTTTTATCAATTAGGTAAGTCTAACAATTGTGTATCCAAACAGCTTTTTTAATGAAATAAGGTTCTAATTTTAGTGTTTTTAAAATCTTATAGTGATTGTATAATGAAAACAAACTATCTTATTGTGTAGTCTAAGATACATGGACCTGCTCATAAATAATAAAAAAGGTAGAATATTCACACACGCAAAAAAGTATTAATGAAAATTTTCAATCATAAATTTTTAGATTTGAATCCCACTAGTAAGACTATTTAATATGGATGACAATAGACAAGGTATATAACATATATCCGCTTTATTCAATTAAATAAATACCTAATAAAAATATCTAATGTGTATTAAAGTGGTTAAGAGTAAAAAAATATATATTCACTAATATGGTTTCGTGGTATGATTGCTTACTCTTTATCCTATTAATATCCATTGATTTATTTTGATTTTTTTTATTAACATGCGGAGATCTAATTGTATAAACTTTAAAAAATAAAAATCAAAATATTTTTTTCAAAAAATATGAGGACCAAAAAAATTATAAAGGATTGACCAAAATTAAAAAAATAAATAAATCTTAAGGAATATTTTTGACAAATTATTTTTAAAGGATATTAAATGAATACTAAATGGACGGATAAACTAATATGGATCGGGTATAGAATGGGTAAAGGTTTATATGATTATTTTTTAATTGATAATGGATAGAGTATTTTTTTATGAATAGGTAAAAAAATTGAATTAATGTGCTGAGTATCCACCTATTGCCATTCTTAATCTGTAGTGACATTGGGCTTATAAAACTTCTATAGGACAAGTGTGCCCAACCATAAGCCCAACCTTCGAACTTTTTTCCATGGCCTTTTCGTAAAGAGCTAGAACCAAACAATATTCATAAGTTCAAGGCTGTGGTTGAGGCCCAGACATTTGACAGCACATTCGATTGTTATGCTCCAACGTTGCTAGAAATTCTATGTCAGTTCAGCACTAAAGGATTTTTAATTTCTCAAAATTTTCTTACAATCTGCCTTGGTTGTCCCTAGTTCGACGACAAGGTTATAACAATGATGTTGGTCACAACTGAATGTTAAAATGTTTCGTTTCGTCACTTGGACAGAGTGACAATGTTGAATTTGCAGTTCTATTGCCATATTGCACACTTACTTTGTATTCACCTAAGAAGCCAAAGAAGCTATAGGAACCATGATCATCTGTGTGACCATTTATCTCCCCGCTATTCCATTCATTTAGCAGCTTGTCCACCACATCACCGGCCGGTAGGTTTCGAAGATTATAATCCGTAAGGCACATTTGGTAGCATCCATTAGGACGGAGTGCAGTCCAAAGCATGATCCCATCCACAGCAGGATGCGAGAAGCCTTCTCTTAACACTTGCTCTAGATGAATAGCCTGCAAAGTTGACACCATAAGGAAATATTAGGATGCAAATATTCATTTTAGATTCTTCATGAAAAGAGAATAAATAAAGAACACACTAGTGTACCTGAGTTTCTTTATCAAATTTATTGCTGATATCAACTTCTGTAAGCCAAATGGGAAGCTTGAGTGTAGCCAACTTGTCCAGAATAGCTCTCATTAGAGGAAGATTTGGCTTAGAAAAGTGACTCTCTAGGCCAATCCCATTCATTGATGCTCCTCCGCGTTCAAGTTCTCTTATCTTAGCAATGTAGGTATCTACAGTTGTATTCACATCAGTGCAAGTCTCCACTACATTAAATTCATTCAAAAACAATGTTGCTAAGGGGTCTGATTCGTGTGCTGTCTGATAGAAATGTAAGGTGGCATCAGGACCAAGCCTCTGTTCATAAAAATCGAAGTGTAACATTTCGTTGCTAACGTCCCAATGTATAAACTCTTCTTTGTATTTGCTCATTAGGCTTTGGATCCGTGAGTTGACTGCTGATTTTAGTGCAGGACCAGTAAGATTACGAACCCATGCTGGATTGTACTTGGGGTCTTCCCAGAAAATATTGTGACCTCTAGCAATTATTTGGTTGGCTCGAATGAATTCCAACATTTGGTCTGCTATGGTATAATTGACCTTCCCTTGTTCGCGTTCTGTGGCATACCATTTGAGCTCGTTTTCAAAGACTGCTGCATTGAATCTCTCAACAAACCAATTCTGAAACAATCAGAACAGATTTTTTTAGTCAGTCTTATAATCAAAAAGTAGTACTCTTTACCATTTATTTTCTTCTTTCCAATCTTCTGCAGGACTGATGCATGGACTGAACTTACCTGATAGGGTAAATTTCCAAGAATTGTACTTGCTATTGATGATCCAAATGGGAAATCTTTTGAGATTTGTTCTATTGTAATGGCAGCTCCTTGCAACCTATCTCCATGACTATCTGACACATGTATTGTCACGGCACGCTTTCTTTCCTGTTGTGTATATATATGTATACTTCTCAGATTTTGGCATTACAAATTTTTGGCAGACTCGGATTTGAAAAACGGATCATGTCAGCCCACTTACAGTGTTAATTATGGACTGCTGATTTGTTCTCCATTGCTGCTCAGTAAATGGTTGTAACGAACCACTTGCAATTTCAATATAGATACTTACATCAGCTGTGCCCTGCGTGACCGATACAAAAACAGAAAAAAATGTCAATAATAGAGTAACAGGTATCTACATTTTTTACATAATTGTTTAATCTTAGGACAACCCAACATTAAAGTCAAAACTTGTCCGGACAATGACCAATTAAGAAAGCAAACTATTAAGCTTACCTGAAAATATAGTATTGATAAACTTGAAGGTGCATCAAGAACAAATCCACCCTTCAGAAATGACCAGCATCCACTCTTGGCCAAAACAGCCCCCACACAACCATACGTGGAATTATTATCTGCCATTAGGCTTGCAGTTACTAGAGTTGAATCTGCACCCTGTATCTTGACCCAAACTGCCTTGCACCAAAATCACACACACCCCTCAGGGAACATCCAGATATTATAGAACTCATAAAAATGATTTATGTCAAGCTTGTACTGGAAAGTTAATGCTACAAAAAATGCTTCCTAATTTCAAGCTCATGGAGCTCACAGCATTAATATCTGCACAATGGCATGATGCGTTAAGCTTGGCCTTTGATAAGTATACTGGAAAAAAGCAATGAAGAAATGATCACTCAACTGGAAAAACAATAATTGGTGCCTTGAGTGAGATTGTGCAATATCAAAGCTGGTGTATAGAAACCATCTGAAGAATCACTAATTCTGTGCTGGGTGAGTGGTGCTTGATCTTTGAAAATCCCCCCATTATATAGCGGCTTCTCTGGTAGTGCTTTACACTGCCAACGATCAAACTATGTTTACATATTAAACAATGCAATAGTGGTAAAATAAATTTGTTCAGGAGGAGTTATCAATAATACCCTAATTAATTGTTCAAGTTTACCTCAGTGTAGGCAGTGAAGTCATACAGAGGTCCATCTTCATTAATAAAAAAAAAAAAAAAAAAGATTATAAGGAAAACAAACTTGAAAACTTGACTTAAAATACTCAAAGCAATGCAAGAAATAGAGAAGTACCATGAGGAACAGCAAAGAAAGGGCACATTAGAATCAAGAAAACTGAGAAGCCCAAAATAGGAACATTTTGTATGATCTTCTTACTTAGAAAAGCCATGAACTGCCTGAATGGGATGACTTATAATTTTATATAGAGAAACGTTACTCGTCAAGACTTGTGTGTTGTATGGTGACTGAAATGGAGGCTACAGTTTACAAGAGAGAATGACAGTTAAATTTGAGGTGGGTTCACGAGGGTAACAGTACTGTTTTGTCTTTGAGAAGCCTATAGCTGCCCTTGTTCACATGTTCTATGAGAGACCTTCATGTGAACTTAAGGGCATGTCAACCATTATTTAAATTTCAATCTTTTGTGTATGGATTTAGTGTCTTTTTTTGGATCACATCTGGCTTAGAATCAAGTTCCTATTTACGTACGTAGGTTGGATATTAATAATTCCATTTTCATCTGACTTTATCGATCCTTGCCTAGTTAATAATCTCCTACTTTGCCGTGATGGGAATTTGGGCACCTGTATAAGTGTTAAATAACAATCAGTCTAAAATAAGTCCTCCAAAGTTTCAACATGAGGTCTCGTGTTTGTGATATTAAGCAGGGAACAATTCACCCATCACTTCCATTTTCTTTCTACAGCCAACAGTTAACCACATAAAAATTATAGACAGTTTGAGCACCAAACACAAATAAATAAAGAAAAAAATGAGATCCTTTTATGGAGAAGCTGATCCTGTTATTATACGATTGAGTATATTTAAGCAAAAAGTTTAAAGAAAAATATTTAAGCACTAGACCTAATTAGTGGCGTGATCCTCACACACACACATATATATGTTTGGCTTGTGGTTGTCTTCTAGGGAATGTGGTATAGGAAATTCATGGCTTGCTTTGTTTTTTCAAGAGGGAGTTACAATTGCCGTATAATTTATGGCTAGCAAAGTTGAAGCTAGAAGTAAATGACTGACAAATTGCCAAATTGGTATGGACAGCGACTTGCTTTGGCTTCAAGTCTAGTCTTCCATTCCTTGTATGTCTTGCAGTCTAATAAGTGGGAGAACTTTTCAAGGCTAGAACTTGCACGCCTTCATGATGCAGCAGACCATAGAGATCCACACGTCCTAGAATGGTCCCTTATTCTGATTTCTAAATTAATTAGAGAAACACCAAAACAGGGAAAAGATGCTGACTGCTAGTACCAAACTGGAAACTGGGCTTAGTAAAGCTGGATAACATTGGCAAGTTTGTAATCTACTGGAAGTCCTTAGAACCCAAATTTACAAGCTTTTTTTATTTCCAGTTGTTGGTTGATGGATTTCTGACCAGCTTCCTTGAATCAGAAAAGTTTCTTTCTAGCCATTGAGCATTGCTATTAACGCAAAGAATGGTTCATTCTCGAGAAAGAAATTTCTCATGGCCTTCCCTTGATTTTGAACCCAAGATTATAACACATAGGCTTTATCGCTGACTTTGCCTCTAATTTTGGGTCCAATCATGCCGTGGGCAAGGCTAGAACCCCACTTATGACATTGAGTCCAAGACAAATGAGAAAAATTTTCGTGGCCAATGACAAGCCCAATCTTTGAACCTTTTTGTGGCCTTTTTCGTATAGAATCAAGCCCAACAGTATTCATTAGCTTAAGGCTAAGGCCCAAAAACATGACCATATTGGCATATTGCATTAGATTGCTGTACTCCAGCTTTGCAAGAAATTCTGTCAGTTCAGCACTAAGCTGTTACAAACATTCTACGTCGTTGTTCGGTTGTTCCTCGTATGATGTTAATGTTATAGCAATGATGTTGGTCACAACTGAATGTTAAAATGTTTCGTTTGATCACTTTGACAGAGCGACAATGTTGAATTTGCACTTCTGTTGCCATACCGCACACTTATTCTGTACTGCCCTAAGAAGCCAAAGAAGCTGTACGATCCATGATCATCTGTGTGACCATTTATCTTCCCACTATTCCATTCTTTTAGCAGCTTGTCAACCACATCACCGGCCGGTAGGTTTTGAAGATTATAATCTGTAAGGCACATTTGGTAGCATCCATTAGGATGGAGTGCAGTCCAAAGCATGATCCCATCCACAGCAGGATGGGAGAAGCCTTCCCTTAACACTTGTTCTAGATAAATAGCCTGCAAAGTGACACTACTAGGTAATGTTAGCATACAAATATTCTTCTAAGATTCTTCATAGATAGAGAATAAGTAAGAATAATCTGATGCACCTGAGTTTCTTTATCAAATTTCTTGCTGATATCAACTTCTGTAAGCCAGATGGGAAGCTTGAGTGTAGCCAACTTGTCTAGAATAGCTCTCATTAGAGGAAGATTTGGCTTAGAAAAGTGACTCTCTAGGCCAATTCCATTCATTGATGCTCCTCCGCGTTCAAGTTCTCTTATCTTAGCAATGTAGGTATCTACAGTTGCATTCGCATCAGTACAAGTTTCCAGCACATTATATTCATTCAGGAACAAGGTTGCTAATGGGTCTGATTCGTGTGCTGTCCGATAGAAATGTAAGGTGGCATCAGAACCAAGCCTTTTCTCATAGAAATCAAAATGTAACATTTCGTTGCTAATATCCCAATGTATAAACTCTTCTCTGTATCTGCTCGTTAGGCTTTGAATTCGTGAGTTGACTGCTGATTTTAATGCTGCACTTGTAAGCTTACGAACCCATGCAGGATTGTACTTGGGGTTTTCCCAGAAAATATTGTGGCCTCTAGCAATTATTTGGTTGGCTCGAAGAAATTGTAACATTTGGTCTGGTATAGTGTAATTTACCTTCCCTTGCTGATTAGGTTCAGTAGCATACCACTTGAGTTCATTTTCAAAGACCGCTGCATTGAATCGCTCAACAAACCAATTCTGAAACAATCAGAATAACTTTTATAGCTAATCATATCGACAGATAATTGCCAGTTTGACACAAATATATGAACCGAACTAACCTGATAGGGTAAATTTCCAAGAATAGTACTTGCTATTGCTGATCCAATTGGGAAATCTTTTGAGATTTGTTCTATTGTAATGTCTGCTCCTTGCAACCTATGTCCACGACTGTCTGACACATGTAATGTCACAGCACGCTTCCTTTCCTGGAAAAAAGAATATGTAAGAAGCTGATATGTTATTCTTGAGCTTACTTATACATTCAAACACGAATCTGCTTCTTAAATTTGAAACAATTCCAAAGAATTTGACATTACAAATTTTTGACATTCTCCAGATTAGAAAAACATAACATGTCAGCGCATGGAAACACAAGGCCTCATCAGTACGTACAGTTTTAATTGTATACTGCTGATTTGTTCTCCATTGCTGCTCAGTAAATGGTTGCAATGAAGCACTTGCAATTGCAATATCAATAGCTTTGTCAGAAGTGCCCTGCATGACCAGCCAAAAAACAGAAGATAAGATCACTAACATATCAGCTTGTCTAGACAATGGTCCAGTAACGCAACAAGTTTCCAATCATAAATAATTTCACCTGAAAATACAACATCGATAAACTTGAAGGCGCATCAAGAGTGAATCCACCCTTGAGAAAAGACCAACATCCCCTCTTGGCCAAAACAGTCCCAACACAATTATATGTGAAGCCATTCTCTGCCATTAAGCTTGCAGTTACTAGAGTAGAATCTGCACCCCGTATCTTGACCCAAACTGCCTTGCACCAAAGTTACATACACCTTAGGGAATGTCCATCCGTTATGAAACTCGTAGAAATGATTTATATCAGGCTTGTACTAAAAGATGAATGCCAGAAAAATGATTTCTAGATAGCTTATATATGGAGTTCAAAGTAATAATTTTTTTGACAATGGCATGAAGTATTAAGCTTAGCCTTCGACTATACAGGGGAAAAAAATCAAGACTGCAGATTTATAAGAAATGAAAATTAATGCAGTGAATAAATGATCACTCACTGGAAAAACAATACATGGTGCCTTGAGTGAGATTATGCAATATCAAAGCTGGTATATAATAACCATCTGAAGAATCACTGGTTCTGTGCTGGGTAAGTGGAGCTTGATCTTTGAAAATCCCCCCATTATACAGTGGCTTCTCTGCTGCTGCTTTACACTGCCAACCATCTAACAGTGTTTACATATAAAACAATGTAATGGAAAAGTAAAGTTGAAGTGGTGAATTTATCAATACTTCCTCTAAATTATACAAGTTTACCTCAGTGTAGGCAGTGAAGTCATACAAAGGTCCGTCTGCATTAACCACACACAAAATAAATAAATAAATAAATAAAATAAAATAAAATTTGATCTTAGGGAAAACAAACTTGAAATTAAGATACTCAAAGCAATGCAAGAAACAGAGAAAGTACCATAAGAAACAGCCAAGAAAGGGCACATTAGAATCGAGAAAACTGAGAATCCCAGGATAGGAACATTTTGCATGATCTTCTTACTTAGAAAAGCCATGAGCTGCGTGAATGGAATGAGTGACTTATAATTTATGTAGAGAAATGTTTTTATGTTGACTGCAATAGAGGCTACAACTTGCAAGAGAGAACGACACTTAGATTTGAGGTGGGCTCACAAGGGTAGCAACGTAGCAGTGCTGACTCGTCTATGAATAGCCCAGAGCTGCCCTAAATCACATGTTACATGAAATTAAGAGCTTCTTGTGAATTTTAAGGACATGTCAACCATTAATTTAAACTCAATCTTTTGTGTATGGATTTAGTATCTTTTTTGGATCTTCCCTAATTACTAATCTTTGCTGAATGGTCATTTTATGATCGCATCTGGCTTAGAGTCAAGTCCCTAATTACGTAGGTAGGGTGGAAATTAATAATTCTATTATTCCCTGGCTTTATTGATCCTTGCCTAATCAATAGTTTCCTCCCTTTTTTTAATGGGAATTTCGGCAGCTGTGATTGCTAAATGATCATCAGTCTAAATAAAGTGTTGCGATTTTCAATATTAGATCTTGATATTATAAGATCGAGTTATAAATGCATGAAGTGTATTTAAGCACTAGACCTGAACAATTAGTGGCATGATCCATATTTTGTGCCTTATGGTTGTCTTCTAAGCCAACGTGGCATATGAAATTCATGGGTTGGTTTATTTTATAAGATAGAGTCACAATTGCCGTATAATTTATGGCTTGCAAAGTTGAAACTAAAAGAAAATTAGTATACCCCCGTGTTAGCGTAAGTCTATATAGTATATTTTAATATTTTAAATAATTAAAAAATTTAAGCATAAAATAAAAATCAATTAATCCTAATTGTGAGAATTTGTTTAATTTAATATATATTATGCAATATTTAATAAAAATATATATATTTCATAATTGTGTTTAAATGTATTATAAGTATATTTTTTATTTTGATAAATAAAAAAATGAAATTAATTATTTTTTAAAATCAAATTAGTTAAATCAATTTATATTAGAACAGTGTTTAATTTTAATTTTAGTTCATGAGTCTATAAAAAATAATAAAATAATCAAAATTAACCATTAATTATGAAAAAAATATTTTAAGTAAAATAGTAAACAACGACAAAAAATAAAAGCATAAAAAAGAGACGCTGGGCGGGGCCTTACACTAAGCCCTTTTATGGGCCTGAATACAACCAGGCCCATGTGTCTAGGCTAAAAACACATCCTAGCCCAGATATAAAAAGTACAATGATCTTTTTGCAACCATAAGTAAAGTATAAAATTAAAATTTGATTGACCAAAGTGTAAAAAAATTGTACAAAATATCCAAAAAAATCACTTATACTTTTTTAAAAACAACTTCATTTCAAGTGAAAAAAAAAAAAAGACTTCAAACCTTTTTTTTTATCGTAGGAGGAGCTTAGCTACAATAACAAATATATTTAGTTTTAATATATATTTTTTTAATTTTGATCAATACAAAAGAAAAAGAAAACATGAAATTAATTATTTATTCTTTAAAAATATTAATTCAATTTGTATTAGAAGAGTGTTTAATTTTAGTTAATTAGTTTATAAAAAATAACCATTAATTATGTGAAAAAAAAAAAAAAACTACTTTAAGTAAACAAAGTAATAAAATAGAAGAGGTTGAGTTGGGCTCACACAGGGCCCTTCTATATGGGTCTGGAGACAACTAAGCCCATGTACTTGGGCTAGAAGCACAGCCCAGCCCAGTGAGAAAAAATATAACGCCTTTTCGCAACGATAATGAAAGTTAGGACGGTTTTGCATAAAATTAGAACGATGAAAAATCAAAAGGTAAAAAATAAAAAAAGGTCCAAAAAAATCACTGGCCGTGAGCCCGTGACTTTTGAAGTAGAAGGTCCTGTGCATTTATGAATTAAGAGGGTACATGCTTTGGCTTCAATCAAGTCTTCCATTCCCTCTTTGTCTTGTAGCTATCTAACAAGCTGGAGAGCTTTTATGGCTAGAAATTGTACGCGTTCATGATACAGGAGACCATACATATCCAGACGCGCCCTAGAATGGTCCCCTATTTTCCTTCTCCCATATTTAAATTAATGAGAGGGCCGCCAAAAGAAAGTTATTCGAAGCAGAGGCCAAAGGTAATTGTACCAAACTGATCTTAGTAAAGCTGGATAGGATTCGCAAAATGGCAAGTCTGTAATCGAAAAGAAATTCTTCAGACCCCAAATTTACAATTTCTTAGTTCATGTTTCCCTCAAGTTTTAGCTTTGATTGGGTTTTCCTACCAGCTTTCTTGAACCAGACTAAATTTCTTTCTAGCTATTAAGCTTCTAAGCTAGCCATTAACCTCGGTCCATTCACAAGAGAGCAAATTTATCCTGAACCCAAGATGATAATCCATTAATGCTTGAAATTCGGCCCAATTAAGCACAGCTCATAACGCTCTTTTAGAAATAAAGGAATCGATCACGTTGCAGAAATTCTTCAAAACCTACCACCTTACCTTTTGGTCTACTTGGACTTGGTCCATGTAATAATAACTAAGCAGGAAAAAAATTTCCAACCTTTTAACAAAATTACTAGCGCACGGTCCACTTAGAATACAACCAAATCAAATAATAGCATAGACAGACAGCGAATCAGACCATGCTGTAACATTCGATGGTCCAATCTGCTTTTTAACCAACAAAACATTGACCAACTGATGACGAATTTAGGATGTCATTGGGCAGAAGCCCTTCAATCCCACCATTTGTTTTTTCTCGTAGCTCTAATGTAAATTTCATGTCATTGCAGATTGGATGCTGCAGCCAATTTCTTTGATCTCCTGCTCGTGTAAATCTTGGAATAAATCTTCTTGGTTCTAATTCCCAATAGAACATCCAAACCAAACCCAATGACACATGCAATGGCCATGATAAAGAACACAAGTCTATAACAATGGGCACCAACACAAGTGTTGCCACCTCCTGGTGTTGGGGTAGCTTCTGCGTCATATAAAAATCCGGCAAGCAGACCAGAAAAGAGGAAGGAACCCAGAGGAAGGTTGAGGATTAAGATGTTGTAAATTAGACCAAAGTACTTGAGACCGAATAGTTCGGAGGCAGTTGGGACTGTGACAGCTAAACGAACTCCGTAGCAGATGCCAACAACAATTGAACCGATGTATAGGGATCCTGGCAATGCCACAGCCATGAGGATGTAACCAACAGCCATTAATATTTGAGATGCTGCATTCCAAAGAGGCCTTGGTGTTCCAGCTTTCCTGCAAAAAGGAAAATGAGCAAAACATCAGAATTGTGTCTCTGTTAAAACTTAAATGGCCTTATCTACTACACATTCGACCATCTTTTCAACTCAATGATATAAAACTTAACTCTCTTAATACAGACTCAAAAAATACAGTTAAAAGGATTCTGTCAGGACAATTTAATTCGATTGGAAGTAACTGCATAAAAAATAAATCCAAACTCAACTAATTCAACTATGACAAACTTGACGCCGACAGCATCCAAGAAGTCAAGAATTGGACCCAACGTTAAGATGAGGGATGTTACTTAAGCCACTTGCATAAAGCAAAATTTACTTGGCACTTAAGCAGTGTTAAGGAGTAGCAAAGGAAAGAAAGAATTCATATATGGGGCAAAAGAGGCATCTGCAAGTTCATATCGTGACCTTTCAGTAAGAATGTCATAATGAAAGCTACGGTCCAACCACTCCATTTAATAGGCTAATACATCACTGAAAATTAACTAGGTAAGTTAACTTCATGACATTTGATTTCACTTGTTCCCAAAAACTATTTGTAATAATCATATAGAATAAGACCCAGTAGCAAAACGCATGAGTCATGACTAACATAGTTGTGTTAGAGACTATTATAAATTATATTCCGGAGTCTCGGTTATAAGCTTAAGCTTTTATGTGAGATGGTCGCTTTAATATGGTATCAAAGCTTAGTTGATCAAGAGTGCTTGAGTTCAAGTCTCACCATTCCTAATTTCTCAAATATTAAGCATAAAGCGATATGGACCTGTGCAAGTTTTAAGCTTCACTTGAGGGGTGTCTTAGAGACTATTATAAATTATATTCTAGAGAAATAAAAAGGACTAAAGAAAGAAAAAGAAAAGTGATAGATACCGAACATATGCATAAAATTGACAAAAAACATACAAGAGATTTTTTCTCTAAAATGCAAGTGGTCCAGAGTTGATGCTTGCCATGAGCTCTTAGCACGAAAATTCTCCCCTTAACATGTCCCTATAAATGGACCACGCTCACTATTACTTACAGAACAATTTGCCCCTTCAATGTGTCAAAGGCCATAATAGACTACTCTGAAAAACTTGGAAGGGCAGTAAAAGTACTCAACTATCTCCTAAATCTCTCTCTCTCTCTCTCTCCAACCAGATCACTTAACCATTTACTTTTTCAGAGATACAAAAAGATAGATCGTTAAAAATCTAAAACAATATTTTTGCACCCATAAAAATATATAACTCACTTCTAGAATCAAATAATAGGAATTCAAGCCTAGTGGGGTTGATCCAACTAGCAGGCATGTGAGATTAGGAATTGACTAGCCTAAATCTTGACTTCAATTTGTTTCAATTTCATAAGGTGATTTCAAATCGGGGACTAATTTTGAATCAATTAATCAAAACTCCCCCAAAAAGAAATAAGCAATGGCATCTTGTTAAATATAGGGAGGAAAAAAAAAATGGAAACATGACATGACCTTTAAGGATTAAAAAATGGCAACCCACAGATCCAAAATACGAATACAATTTTTAGATTTTTTAACACAGAATTGGACAGCTAATAAAGACATCATGAAGAACAAACCCAATTAAACAAGCTAAAAAAGAAATAAATCAAGAAGTAAGGAGAGAACCAAGAAACTTACTTGAGGTAGTACTCAGACACAGTACCAGAAACAATCCTTCCAAAGAATCCCCAAATACTTGTCATGGAAACAAAAAGAGAAACATCAGCATATCCAAGAGCCAAACCAATCTGTCCCATATTATTCATCACAGCCAAACCTGTGCCAACCCCACAAAGGAAAGACACAAACAGAATCCAAAAATCAAAAGTCGACAATGCCTCAAAAATTGTATGATCCTCTCCAATAACCGGCCTCCTCTTTATCTCCACTGCCTTCTTCTCCTCTACAGCTTGTGATTGCTCCACCACTGCTGTTTCCCCCTCCTCAGCAGGCTTTTCTTGAATATCCTCGTGGGTTTTCTCTTCTCTTAATAAAGGTTCTTGAATTTGCCTTTCAACATCAGCTTGGTTCTTGAACCGGTTAAAATTCCAGCTTCTAATAAAGGCATAAACTGGAACTGCTAAGGGAGAAGCTAAAAGTGCTAGCAATGTAACCGAAAACACCAATGAAAGAACATGGCTAGGATTTGGAATAAAACCGTATGCCAACAGATAAACAGCCACAATAACAGCAACAACGTTGAAGACATTGAAGTATTTGGTTTCTTCTTTTTCTTCCTCTATCGTGGCGGCAGGTGGGGTTTCGCGGAGGAAGACGATGGCGGTGAGGCAGACAGCAAAGGGGATCACTGCAAGCATCATGAGGAACTTTGCAGGGTCGTCAGCGAATAGAGCTGCACATACATCGGTGAATATGGCAGTGCTTAGACCTACATAGCCCTTCAAGATCCCAGAGACAGGGCCACGATTGCGGCGGAAGTTGCGTATGCAGGTCACTAAAACCGCCGTGTTCATCCATGTGGTGCTGTTGCCTCCTAGACATAGGAATATGCACATCTGCATTCCACATTGGAAAAATAATTACCCGGTAAGATCATAACATAACAGCACTAATGCCAGAATTTATTCAAAACTATAACGAGAAAAGGTTAAAAAAATAACTAAAAAGGATGCAACAACCGCCTGATAAAGGATTCTAAATTGCACTATTTGATAAACAGAGACTCTTAAAATTAAGGGTAATGTAAAATTTACCTGCCAGTAAGAGAGAGGTTGAATTCTCCTACTAACAACAAGCCATTGAGTGCCATAACCAATAAGACCTTCAATTGAACCAATAAGAAGAATAACTGGAGTGGGCAAACGATCAGAAGCAAGACCAGCAAGCAAACCAAAGGCCTTGCCAACATCTTTAGCAACAGATAAATTGTTGAGTTCAAGTTGGGTCAAATTCATAAGAGTTTTAAGTGCATCAGAATAGTTTGAGAAGGTGTAATTGTTGCCTGAAATAGCTTGGACCCAAACAGCAGTTACAAAGCCTAGCCATTTTGTAGCTGCGAAAGAAGTTGGAAAGGATTCAAGAAAACCCATCAATCTAATCTATCTACCAATCTTCACCGATAAAAAAAAATTGAATGGAAGAAAAAAGAACAAAGTGCTTGCTTGAAGTTCCGGTACAGGGGGTATATAAAGAGGTTTTTTTTTTTTTTTTGATGACTGTAGTTCTTACAAGGACACGTACGGTGCAACTTGTTCTGATGTGGCTGTCTCGTGGTAAGTGGGGAAACAGTAAAAGAATTTGTACTGCTTTGTGTTTTTAAACCGTTAGGATATTCTAGTCTCTTTTCTTCACCGGTTGAATTTTGGATAAATCTTTTTTTTTTTTTTTGGGATTTTATTGGTTTATGAATGGGGACGGCTATAATTTGGAGTTTTCCAAGAAACATCTCTGTTGGTTCCATGTTTATCGTGTCCCAATCCTGTACAAAAGTTAGGGTTTTGGATTTCTTTATGAGAAATGGTGGATTTTCTTTAGAGTATGAGAATGGACTTGGGATTCTAGTTCTGATTTTTTAGGATGGATTTATAGTTTTGTTTTGTTTTAAAATTTTGTAATAAAGTCTTGATATGAGATGAAATAATTTTTTATTTCTTTTCAGAATGTAGTTTAGGGTATCGGATTTAACGCAGAAATATAATTGAATTTTTATTCGATTAATTCTCATATTTATAGACAACTAAGACACGATCTTTAGATTTTAGAAGCGTTTTCTTAGTAGTGGGATATCAATATTTTTAGAGAACTTTTGCAATTTTTTTTTTCCTTTCCTTTCGTTTTAATGAAAAAGAGATAGATAACTGCGCTTTTTTAAAAAAATATTATTCTTTTTTGAATGATCATGCAATAAAATTAGCTCTGGACATGGTTGATGAGTACTCAATACAGCTAAGATTTGTTAATCGTGTTGATTGGCAATTAGTCGTTTTTGATACTCTATATCTCTCTAATACTGTCCTCTTACCTTTAATGATTGTTCATGCAACTTTGTAGCCGTAGGTGTCTCTTCAGGAATTCCTTAATTACTTAGCTAAACCAGATAAATTATGCAATTAGCTGAAGCAGTATTTGCAGAAATGACAAGACTGGTGAACATAATTAAAATAACTGTATGGGAGATTGACATAGTTTTCTCAAAAAAAAAATTCCTTTTATAAAATTTCTTGAAAAGAATGGTTATTCAATTTTGGTGAAAAAAAAAAAAAAAGATAAGTATTGCCGTCTAGAAAGGCAACAAATTAAAGTAGATGGAAAGCTAAGCTATTCCAAAGCTTCTTTTCCATCTTGGAATAATTGGGACCAATGAATTTAATATGTAGCTAGTCAAAAAATCACATCCATATTTGCTATAGACTACTCAACACTTTTTTTTTTAATTACAATTAGAATATTTTTTACATCAATATCTAAAAATTTTCATTAAATTTCTCAAATTACACCAAATCAATATAAAAATATATTTTTAAAACTATCCAGAAAAAAAAATAGTTTAATTAACATACAAACTAACCAAAAAATCTTTTTACTATAAAAAAAGATTAATGTTTTTACAATCAAATCCGATTTAATTCATTATCTACACCCATATTAGTTGATGTAAAATGTTTGGTCGCCAATACCTAACTATTGAGAAAATTTTATAATATGTAAAAAATAATTATCAATGTTTATTTTATATATATATAAAAAAGACAGACATAATAAAAGAAAGACAACTAAAAAAGAAAAAATTAAAAAAAAATAAATGAAAGTATTCTTATCATTTTTTGTGGTGTTGGTGTCAATTTTTTTTCTTCTTATGTTTTTCTTTTAAAAACGAACTTATAAAATAATTACCGTAAATATTAGTAGTTATTTTTAAAATATGTTAAAATTTCTTCCTAACTATTAAGTAAAATTCAATTCTGGATTCATAATCTTATACAATAGATAGTTTTATTGATTAAGTGAGTTGATTAAAATATAATAGTAATTATTGAATAATTAATGAAATAAAATACATGCATAACACCATGTGATTTACCTCATAATGCTCACTTTTTCGATTTGGAAGATTTCATTAGGAATTGTGGGACGAATGGGACACATGCATTTGAAACTTCGATATATTCATTGTATGAATCACAAAATGGTGTGATTCATTGGAAAAAAGTGGCAGAAGTTTCCAAAAAAAGTGCGATTTTTCAATTGGGGAATACTAGTATTTGCTTGGAAAATAAAAGAAGTAATTCATATTTCTCGGATAAAGCCAATTTCGTCATGGAAAATCCTCGCCCGACAAGTCACACGAGTGACGGCACGTTTTGTAGGCGTTAGATTGCAGACGCAATTTAGTCAAACGTCTGGCTAGAGTCTAGAGAATGCTATCCCTTGGACGTTTCTCACAAGCCGTACAATTGGGACAAGGAAATATATTTTTTATTTTTTGTCATGCTTTCAGCCAACGCTTTCAGCCCTTTAACTTCTTGTAGAATCACAGACTAATTAGTGAGACAAAACAATTTCACAGATTTTCTTTTCTTTTTTGCAGTTTTTCATAAAATTCAAATCTAGAATTATATTTGAGAAATAAAATCATTTATTCAACCAACAAACTTAACAACATTGCGTAAACAAAATCATTTATTGGAATTTTATTCAACCAATAAACAAAATCAAGAGAATGTGATGCCATATCGGTCTCTCTTCTCGTACGAAACGTAAGGACAAGGTTTTGCTAATCTTTTAACAGAAATAGGCGTCTAGCTGCCTCTCGGTTTCAAACTGCACTGAAAGTATAAAAGGTAGCATGTTCCTCAAAAAGCGAAAAAAGAAAAAAAAGAAAGAAAGAAAGAAATTATAGAGTTTGCATTCGTATGGCCTACCTACCTGTACCTGCAATTTACCAATTTGGTGCGGCCGACTTCTTACTTTATCAGATGTCTTATTTTCTTGATAGTAACAAGTTCATGACCAATTAACCATAATTTTGTGTCGTTCATTTTTTTCCACACACATACATCTGAAAAAATCCAAACACATTTGAAGAATTATACCTATAACACTAATTAGTGGAAGGAATTTAATTAAGCGTTGGACAAACCATCAAAATTCATTAGATTGAGAAATTTTAAAGTATTCAATAAATAATTAGTAATAGTTACGAGACCTAACATTCACTAGTAAAAGCAAGATCCACAAAGGAATAATGCGTGGTCCAATGTCGCTGGACATCTGAGGACATGCATTTTTATATTTGAAAAAAAAAAAAAAAAACATCCCAGCTCAACTTTTTAAAGGTAACAAAAAAAAAAAAAAAAAAAACGTGAAAACATATATTAAGTGCAAATGGGCCTAATGGAAACCAATAAAAGCCATTGCACATGAATCTCCAAATGCAATTAAATAGCTAGAGAGGCCTTGACACTGTGCCAATGGGAATTAGGCGGTATTGAATTGCCAAGAGCTGGGATTCCTTCCAAGTGGATGTTAAGAGAAATTAGGAACAAAAGCAGAACCTGATTTGTTTGCTAACTACTTGATTTCTTTCTGTTTCTTTAACCCCCTTCCCCCTTTCAAATCTCATCATCAACCTTTTCTCTTACAGAAATTAATCCACCAACTAGCATCACTTAATTCAATAGACAGTCTTCCTCAATTGAACTGTAATTCTCGTATGACTTAGGCTCTGTTTGTTTGAGGGAAAACAAATTTCATAGGAAAATCAATTCCCGAGGAAGTTATTTTCCTAAAAATTATTTTTCAAAAAATATTTTTTGCTGTTTGACAATTATATGAAAAGGCTACTTGAAAAAAATATTTCAACGTTTGTTTGATATAGAAAATTAAAATACAAAAACTTATGTAATCGTTATATCAACAAGTTTTGAAAAAATTTTAAAAAGACATTCATAATTTCATAATATAAGATATATTTAGAAGAATTTAATAAATTTTCATCAATACTAACTCTAAAATTTTAATTCAAAAAATAAAATGTATTTTTTTAACAATAAAACCAAATCATCAAAATTACTTGGGACAAAATTAAGTCAATATTCATATTTTGTAAAAAAAGATTCTAAGTAATCTTACCATTATTATTTTAGTAACTCAATTAAGAATTTTTTTTTAAAGAAATTGAACTGATAATTTAGTCTAAAAAATAATTTGATAAATTATTTGTTATCGTCTATAGATAATTATTTATTTGATCTCAAAAGATTAATGTTGGAATAATTTATAACTAATTATTCATTACAATTGCCAACAAAATTTTACAATTGATTAAAATTATAAATTATTGATTTAATTGCAAATGAATAGTGTTGAAAAAATAATGTATTTATTGATGAATTAATTAATTTTAATTTCTTTTTATAAAAAATTATAGTCTTGTAATAATCATTTTCATTCATTTAACTATAATTTAGGTAGTGATTGAGACAATAGTAAAAAAGAGAGATAAGTTATTGAAATATTTATTATAAAAATAATTTTAAGGTGTAAAAATGGTTTTTAAAAATATTTAATGTATCTATACATAAAAAAAATCAAATATTAGTAAAGATAGAGAAAAAATAATTAAATAATTGATAATAATTGATAAGAAATAATTAAAAATTAATACTATATATTTTAAATAAAAAGAAGATAGAGAAAAAAATTATTAAAATATATCGAAAGAGAGTTATGTAACGAGAGAGCGAGACGACTCGCGAGAAGGAAAGTATTTTTCTCTTTTGAAACCGATAAAATATTTTTCTAAAATTACTTTATCATTTTTTGTTGATTAAAAATCATTTTTCATTGACTTTTTTCTTGGATGTGAAACAAACACTAAAAAATAAGAAAAACAAGTTTAATGAAATTTGTTTTCCGCTAGACATACCCAGCCTTATCTTCACAATTGAACTATACGTACGGTTCCACATGCTGGTGTGTATATATATATATATTTCTTGCTGTAGACAGCCCATTGCTTTCGAGCTTTGAATAATCTAAAATCAAGATAGTGGGCCTTAATTACCGTACAAGAAGAAAAACGCGAAAG